AGATAGATAGATAGATAGATAGATAGATAGATAGATAGATAGATAGATAGATACTGAGCAAATAAAGAAGTACAATTGGGCAATAAATACGTGAAAAATATTTGACCTCTTTATCAGTCAGTGATATAAAAATCAAAACCATGTTGAGATTCCCCATCTCACCCCAGCAGAAAAGCTGTCATCTAGAACACAAAAACATGGTGAAATTAAGAGTCTAAGAGAGAGACTTCTACACACTGCTGGTGAGAATGTGGACTCAGGCGGGCGCTGAGAGAGTCAGTGTGGAGAGTCCTCCCAAACTGATAGACATGAGCTTTGCCCTGTTCTTACCCTGTTAGACATTTGAGGAGTCCTTAGTAAATAAGTGCATGAAATAGATTTGATGCGAAAAGCGTCAGATTTAACGCGATGCTGCTCAGCTTTCACTCTGAGGGCCGGTTCTAGCTATATTGTGTTGTGTAGACTTTGGGTCCAGCTAATTTTGCTGTGTGATTTTATTTGCAAGGTTTTTTAATGAATTTATAAAATTTTAAAAAATAACCTTAAACTAGAGCTACCAAATGGCCCAACTCTATGTCCTTGGATCTACAAGGCAACCAGAGCTAGCATCCAATATCTGAGAGCTAGCATCCAATATCTGCACACCCGTGTTTATTGCAGCACTGTTCACAGTAGCCACGGCATCGAGTCAGTCTAGTGCTCTTTACCAGTAAATGGTTAAAGAACAGTGGAATGCTACTCACCCACAAAAAACAAAATCCTGTTGTTCGCAGAAAAGTTCATAGAATCTGGGAATTATCAAGTTAACCAAACAAACCAGCCTTAGAAAGACAAATATTCCATACATATTTCCCACATGTATGGACTATTTAAGACATAAAAGTAGAAAGGCACTATTTAAAAAGAAGGCCAGAGGAGCATACGTGACGAAAGGTTATATATGTCACCTGCGCACATGAAAACGTCACAATGAAGCTATTGTCTTGTACAGTGCTTGCACACATTTTCTTTTAAGTAGTTAAGTTTAATTTTAAAAACTTTTTTGGCAGGAAATAACCCTGTAAGAGAAGCTGCAATGGAAATTGGAAAAGGATATGATTTAAATTCAAAATCAGGTGGGATGACTTTCCCTTTGTTTCATTAGTTATAAGTGTACTAACAGGAATAATGTCAGCATATCACTAGATAACCAGACTTTTAAAATGCTATTGTTGCTAGTTTAAGTGATAATATTTAAAATAATTTCACAAGATTCCAAAATACTACAGCTAAGATCACTTAATAATTACATTGCATGGCGTTTTTTACAACAATGCCTTTAGAAAGTAGCTATTTTTAAAGATTAAGTGAGACATTAGGTAGTTTGGTCAATTAATAAGTTCTTCCTAAACATAAACCAATGTACTGCTCCCCAACTTGCAGACATACATATCTACCAATGTAATGATTTGTGTTATATATTTATACCACTTGATAAAATGTTCACTGTTAGCTTGAGTTTATCTTAAAATGAATCTGTTACTGAATACAACATAAAAGTAATGTATGCTTGCTACAGTTAGAAAGCAACAGCAAAAGCACCTAATGAAAATAAAATTACTAACTTATCTAATATTGTTGCAGTCATGTGTGAAGTGAGAAATGTGCAAAGAGAGGTTAATGGCGAAGAAGGGATTTTGAAGCATACTAGAACCTGCTTCAGGCTTTTTCTTTGACTTGGTATAAATGTAGGAAATAGACATGGGATACTTTCCTTTCTCTGCAACGTAGCATTATCTAATGGGGAACCATTTAAGATATTTTGTAAGAAATGCATGCCTTTAGATTTCTTTTCCTCTAAGAGTCTTGAGTAATATCATTGCAGATGGTCTTTCAAGCTCTTAAGTTTTATGATTCTATTTTGTAAACAGTGAATATATATTTTTCTCAACAAAAAAAAAAAAAAACACAGAGCCTATTGGATATGGTAGAATATACTTGTAATCGTCCTACTTAGGACACTGAGACAAGAAGCTTTTTGCCTCTCTACTTGGTAGAACCCAGCAAAAGAATTTGTGTGCACTTTTTCTTTTTGCCTCATTCCTTGACTTCTTTGGCCATCCTCAGAATATGTAGGTAATATCTCAAATATGGCCATCCCAAACTCTATATGTTGCATAGCAGACATTCAATTTAAGGGATAATTTTCCTTCTTGCAAGGAGTTCTGGAAAGATTTGCTTTTAAAAAATAAATTCTCTAATAATGCTGTCCTTGATTATTCTGCAAGACAGAGATGAGAGTCCTTCAGTCTTAGTTATTAGAATCCCCATAGGTAATGTGGCATACATGAGAAATAGTGGTGGGTGGCATCCAATTCCAGCAAATCTGTGGAAGAATATTAACCTCTCTATTTTAGGGTTTTTAGCCAGTCTTTCTGGCTCTGGCTCTCCCCCACCTCACTGGGTAAGGGCAAGTGATGAGAGTTGTGTTTATATGTACATACATGTAGATTGGTATACAAATTTCTCATCAACATGTTGGAGGCTAACAGTATCTGATGAACTAAGTAACTAGCCCCTTTATATTGTGAAACCTTAGAATGTTAAGGCCAGTACCAGCATTGAATGTAAAGCATTAGTGATTATATACAACTGCAATGTTAAGGCTAGCTCCTGAGTTGAATTTAAATAGTAGTCTATATACAATATACTGTATATGTATACTTGTATATATTATATATATATACTTATATATGTATATATATAATATATATAAGTATATATATACTACAATAGCAGTCTATATACAACACCCTCACTATGATCAGTTAACCCTCTTTGTCTCAGTTTTCTCTTAAGGTCAAGAAAATACCTACCTCTTAGGCATGTATTGAGAGCCAACCCTTAAACATTTTTTTTCTCACAGAAGCATAAAAGTCATTTTGTTAATGTTAATGTGTGGCTGATCACACTCAGTTCAGGCTGGACCAGGACATATGACACATCCTTGTTTGCCATGACAATTGTTTGTAAGGGATGTCAACCCTCAATTGTTTGTACCTGTCAACCCCCAATCGGTGACAGTGCCCACATGAAATGTACATACCTCAAGAGTGATCGCTCTGTTTCTCTCGGCCTCCAGAGTTGACGTCTTGTAGCCATTGGTGTTCCTTTGCCAGTTAGAGAAGCTCACATTTGGCCTGGCTGCTGTTTGATTGTTTTGCTTTGTTTCTAGGGTTCTCACCAGTCTTGTCACCCAGGAAACCTTCTCACCAAGTCATGGATTTTTTTGATTCACACCTTTTAGGTGACTCTCCCTCACTGGCCTCTAGTTCTTCTTACCTTGATTCTGAGGAAAATCTTCAGAAAATGGAGAATGTACTTGACCTCTGGAGTTCAGGTCTGAAGGTACTGCAGTTGCTCCATTGAATTGTTCTTTAAATATGACACCTGAGCCTACTCTCCTTGTGTTTTCCTTTTGTTTGTTTGTTTGTTTGTTGTTTTTTCATTTTTCTAGAAAACAAGCAAAAACCTAAATCTCTGGGTTCTAGAGATGACCCACCCAGTGTTTTAGACTTAAGCTTCTCAATCTTCAGTGCACGTATGAGCTGCCTCTGTCTTGTTAAACTGTGAGTTGGTAATATGTTTTAGGGCCAAAAAATTGAATATTTCTATGATGTACTTAGGTAGTATTACTGGTTTCTAAACCATACGTTGAGTTGCAAGGTTTAAAGGAGTTGCTAGGATATTGTGTCATCCACCACATTTCTGGTGTGTTCTAAAGAGCTTCCTGATGACCTACAGTGATGATTGATACAATTTTAGCCTCTTCAGATCTAATGATGATAGATAGGGCCTTAGGAGGGCCACATTCCTAGAGTCCCAGCTATCTAGGAAGCTGGGATGGGAGGACTAAACGTTATGAATGTTAACTAATTTTATAGCAGCCACAATGTATGTTTGATTAATCTATAAAAATATTTTTATTTGTCAATGTTAATAGCCTATCAATAAAACAGTATTATAGAAATGTCATGATTTGCTATTGTTTTTAATTGGAGGGGACTGGAGAGATGGCTCAGTGGTTAAGAGCAAGAATGCTTTTGCAGAGAAAGGATTGGAGTTCAATTCCCAGCACCATGTCAGTCGATCACAACCTACTGGAACTCTAGCTCCAGAACATCGCAAACCTCTGTTCTCATGGGCACTTGCACTTATATTCACATACCCATACAGAGATTTACACATAATTAAAAACAAATATTTTTTAAAATAATATGATCTATTCTAAAAATGGAAAAAAATTAATACTGAAGCATATAGTTATTTATTAATATACTTGGAAAATTATGTTCATGTGAATCTTATGGCGTTTACATTTTCCTGTTATTTGAAACTTTGAACTTGAGAAATACACTCTGGCAGCAGTTTCTGGAACAGGTTTCATTGCTAATAATAGAATTCTGTTGCGGTATTGTATAGCCAGCTATTCAAACTATTATGTGCTCAGTTAGCCATATTTGTTATTGGAGTTTTTTGTTGTTTTTAGGTCATCAGTGATTGCTTAGTTTTTTATTCACGCCAGTCAGTAGTGTGAAAGGACTAAGCACTTTGTTATAAGGTAACCATTGTGATAAGTGGTTTTGGGGAAAACTTCAGTTCCGTAGTTTGAACTACCACAAGCACCACCTCCAATCAGCCATCCATTATGCCTCGGCCTAGCTCCACACTCCTACATTTCTTCACCGGATTCCTTTTTCGTTTTTGAGATTTTATTTCTTTAATCTTATGTGTAGGCATGTTTTGCCTGCATCTGTGTAAGGGCAGCACCTGCTGGCAGTGCCCTTGGAAGACAGAAGAGGGTATCAGATTGCTTAGGACTATAGTTTCAGATAGTACCATATGAGTGCTGGGAATTGAACCTGCCTCCTCTAGAAAAGCAGCCAGTGCTCTCAACTGCTGAGCCATCTCTCCAGCTCCATCTAATCTATTTTAGTATGAGCATTTAAGTCTGTGACAACACAAAGGAATTTTGTGAATGAAACCTGATTTTTTTTTTTTTTTTATGTCATAAGAGTTCATACAAAATAACATAAATGGGAAAAAACTAATTCCTTTGGTATGGTTGATGAACTGTGAAGAGCCATAGCTGTTGAACTTGCATCATTTGTTAGTGTCTTGTGATTTTTTTTTTAATAGCCCATGTGTTGACCTGATCTTTTTGATGTTTCTTATTTTCAGTTTAATTTTAAAAGTGATTTGAGAAAACAAATGATGTATAGTCAGTATGTTTCCTTTTCAGTCAAACGTTATATCTGAACTGAGTAAGTGGAGACTTAATATGATCGATTGGCACAGAATGGAGATGAAAAAAGAAAAGGAAAAACACGAGGCGATTGTAAAGCAGCTGTCGAACGAGATTGCTGACTTGAAGGAGCTGCAGAAAGCCTTTGAAATTTCCATCGGAAGAAAGGATGAGGTCCTCTTTTCTATGTCTTCCTTAAAGTGAGACTCAGCAGATGTCTCAGCGGAAATATAGTTCTGAGAACTAATGGTTATTCTGCTTCTGTAAGACAAAGAAAATGCTCTGGAAAAACTAAGCACACAGCTGTAGGGCCTATTCCTCTTAGACATGGGTGTAGTAGGTATTTCCCTTGAGCTCTGGCTTTAGTGCTTCCTGATGATCTAAGAGCCAGCTCAGTGTAGACATACTAGGTTTTTCTTCCCGATCATTTTTATAATTCATTTATATCAAGGAGCCAGCATTACCTATGTTCTTAACCAGCCTTTTGGCTGACAGTAAGCATCTCAAATCCTATCAGTGAGATGCATTTGTTCATTGATGGAGAAAAACACAGAGTACCTTTCATGGCCTCTTTGCTTCTTAAAAAGCTGAGGATACAGTTCAAATCTATGTGAGGGTTTTTTTTTTTTTTGTTTTGTTTTGTTTTTTGCCTCCTCATCACACATTAAGCAAAATAGTGGGCAGTGAGTGTATCACATCTGTTTATGGATAAGAATGTGCTAGAGTTCACAGAAGGCCTCAAGAAGCAGCACTTAAGTGTTTATTGAGTCAAAGGAAAAGGGTTTGTTATTGCCTTACCTTTTGAGACAGAGTCTGGTAGACTAGGCTGGCCTCCAACTCAGTGTGTATCCCAGGCTGGACTCTCAACGGAAAGTCCTCCTGACTGTCTCCCAGCTTCTGGAATTGTAAACATAAGCCACACAGCAGGCAAGATGATGTTTTTCAGATGTACATTATCTTGCTCTTTACTGGTATAGCATAAAATCAAACATTTTATGTAGTTTGCTTTGCTTGAAACATTGTCATTTTTTTCTATTATCTTCAAAACTGTTCTGATTTTTTCTGATCGTGCAAAATGAATGTGCTTGTGCTCTACTTATAAATACGAATAAAATGGACGGCCATATGTAATCATCCAGCTTAAGATACAGAATGTAGCAGATAACTTAGAATGCAAGGCTGGGCATGGTAGACCTGTAATCTCTATTTAAGAGGTGGAGGCAAGGAGGAGCACAGGTTCAAGGCTTGCTGGGAACACAGCAAAACTCTTGTCTCAAAGGGGAAAAAACATAAAATAGGAACCATCCTAAGCTACATAGTAAGACAATATTTCAAAAAGAAAAAGAAAAGAAAAAAAGAAAGACAAACCAATGACACCTGAATAAACAGTCATCACAATTATTCTCTGTAGGATCTTTACATGCGGAGACCGCTTTCTAAAAATGAACAGACTAAGCAGCCAGGCACCATCTAGGTTAAGACAGAATGAAACGTTTGTACCCTTTGCACAATCAGTTGCCACTGTCATAGCAGCACAGTAACTGGGCTAATTACCGTTTACAGGTGATTTCCAGCTTGTCGCATGCCATTGGCAAGCACAAGGAAAGGATAGAGTTAATGAAAACCTTCTTCCACTGGAGAATTGGACATGTCAAATCAAGACAGGATGTAAGTATAAAAAAGACGACCATTGTCAGCTACTACAATTCCAATTAGAAAGACTTCAGGGTGACTGGTAGAACTCTTGTTAAACTCAAAGATTTGTTTTCTAATGAGTCAATATATGTTGAGTTGTAATGCTGCACTGATTTCAAAGAAAATTGATTTTGATGCAGTTTAGAAAAGTACCTCTCAGATTGTATTAACATAGGATGGATATATTATGACAGAAAAGCCATTTGCTGCTTCATAGTGGTTTAATAAGGATTGTCCCTAACTCATAAAAACCCTGGCAATGAAACTCCTTAAGAGACTTGGCCTTGGAAGCAGTTATTTGGAAAAAGAGTTTATAGCCTTAAGCAGGTCATTTGCCTTCTGTGTTGTTTCTTCCTCTCACACATATGAGCAATGTGTATGTATTCTTACTACTCAGGAGGCTGCAGCAGGAGCCAGTGTATACGCCCATCCTGAGCTACATAGCAAAACACTGGCTCAAAAAGAAATGCTGCTTCTGATAAATCCAAGTACAATCTCTTCATAAACATTATTATTTATGCATAAAATATGCAGGTGGTGTTTGTTGTAGACTTAATATGGGAATTAAAGATGGTTATATTACATAGGTTTTTACAAATTTATACCTGAGTGTCCTTACTTTCATTGAGTAAATGCTGAGCCAGTGTATCAAAAACAGTGAACTGATAAACTACATTACTGAGGCCATGTTGTTATAGAAAAAGAAAATCCCAGTCATTCAGTTTCACCAATAAAAACTTGGGAGCCAGATTCTGGGGTGAAACCCTAAGCCTACTAGCTCAGAGAGGCAGAGAAAGCACCCAGCTGACTTTCCTACTCAGCTCACATCCCAGAAGGAAAAAAGCTGCTCTTCCTTCCCCATACTAAAACAAATGCCCCTCAACTAAATGCTCTTCCTTTCTGTTTAATCCCTGTCAGATAGTTGTTCACTCTACCTCTTGATCTGGGTTGACTTTATTTAATCCTGTTTACAGAAAGCTCTTGGATTAAAGTGTGTTCTAGGGCTGAGCCTCATCATAAGTATTTGTTTACAGTAAACAGAAAGCTCTAGGATCAAAGACTAAGCCACACCACAATTAGAAATGGGTTTTTACAGTTCACAGTCTCAGGGTCAAATATCCTGCAAAAAGGCCAGGCATGTTTGTATGCCCTGTAATCTCAGCAATTGCAAGGCTGAGGCAGGAGGAGTGAATTGAGTGTCCTCCTTAGCATGCATAGCAAGCCTTTGTCTTTTGTCTGTAACACATACAAAATACTGTTACAAGTAGAAAAGTGGGGCTGGAAAGAAGGCCTAGCAGTTAAGAGTGCATGCTGCTCTTGCAAAGTACCTAAGTTCCCAGTTCCTACATCAAATGGATCATGACCTGTAATTCCAACTTCAGGGGAATCCACCACGCCTACACTCATGCACACAGACACATCTATACACATAATTTAAAATAACCTTATTTAAAATGTAGGAATGTATGAGTGTCTATATGTCATTAAAAAGACAGGATGAAGCCAGGGATGATGGCACATGCCTGTAATCCCAGAACTCTGGGAGGCAGAGGAAGGCAGATCTTTGTGAGTTTGAGGCCAGCCTGGTCTACAAAGTGAGTCCAGGACAGCCAAGGCTACACAGAGAAACCCTGTGTAAATAATTAAAGAAAAAGAAAAAAGACAGGATGTAAGATTATCTGATTAAAAGAAATGATTATAGAGATGTGTATTCCATATATGTTCACATTGCCCTGGAATAGTCTTAAGAGATCAATGCTTGAGGAAAAAAATGTTATCATGCATCTTCTTTAAAATTACCTTGTATTAATCCAACTAAATCAAATACACTTCACATCGAAACAAGCTATCTAGAGGTTGGGGACATGGCTCAGTCAGTGTGATGTGCCTGCTTCGTAAGCAAGAGGGCCCCAGCACTTGAACCAAAGCCAGGCACAGTCACCCTGAGGGGTTGTGGAGAGTGGAGGCCCCTACAACTCCCTGGCCAGCCCAGCTGAATCAGTGGAGAAACAGAGGAAGATAGCCTGCATGAGCCTCTGATCTACACATACACATGTGTGCATGCCCACGTGAACATGCATACACCATAGAGAGACAGACGGGTAGGTAGACACATAGAAAAAAAGATAAGACTATCTAAAATTAATGTCATAATTTAAACATTATGTATTAAGTGACACATGAGAATGTGTATTTTCAAATACTGACAAGGTGCTATCATTTTTGAAAAGCATCTTAATTTTAAGAAATTAAGAAGTGTAGCTACTTCAAAAGCATTCACTGATAAAATAAAATTTAAAGAAAAAAGTAGTGTATGTCCCCTATTTTGCTCAGTGTGGCTCTGCGAAGGAAGGCAGTGTAAGTTTACATGAACTGTCTCCACCAATAGAGAAGGAGGGTAGTGCCACCTGAACCGTGGCCGCCGCCTGTTTACCTTCCAGCCCTCTGTTACTCTCCTGTCCCTGCTTCCAGGAAAAGGCCAGGCCACTCTGTAACTGAGGTGACAAGTTTCTTGTTTTGTTTTTCTCTCCTCCTTGGTAAGCCTGTTGAGCTGTAATTGATGGCTAGGATTGCAGGCTCTAGGACAGGCAAGTCTGTCCTGTGTGGCCAAGCAGGTTACCGAACACCTCCAAGCCAGTTTTCCCACATGCAATAGAGCGATTGTACAGGATTAGTGACAACATTCATGCACTTCCCACCGTGTTATTTTTGTTCCTCTACATACACTCACCAGCCCTTGTGGTTCTGAGGTTGTTTTTCTGGATATTGCTTTTTTTCAGGTTTATGAAGGTAAACTGGCTGACCAGTACTTTCAGAGAACTTTGCTGAAGAAAGTGTGGAAAGGCTGGCGTTCTGTGGTGCAGCGGCAGTGGAAAGAGATGGTGGAACGGGCGTGCCAGGCAAGGGCTGAAGAAGTCTGTGTGCAGATCACCAACGATTATGAAGCCAAACTTGCTATGGTAGACCGCTTTAAATTTTACTTTGTACATTAAAAGAAATGTATAGACTCACCATTATCTTTGCTTGGTTTTAAGTGTTTATATGTAGCCAAAAAGAAAACTTTAGAGATATTTATCTTTATTAATTTAAATAAACTATGCTCCTATGTAAGTTTCATATAAAGTAATAAATGTGTTTTTCTCTGATTTTCAATAACAGAACTAGCATTTCCTTAGGGGATCATTTGGATCATGAAAGGAGGGGAAAATAGACATTTAGAATGCAAAAGGCCTCTTGAAATCATATTAAAAGGAAAAAAATCATTCTTTAACAAGCACTAGTTTTAAAAATAAGCTTTATAGAGCTAGAGAGATGTCTCAGTCAATAAACTACTTACCTTATGAGCATGAGAACCAAGTTCAATTCTAAGAGTCTACTTCTTTTTTAAAACTCTGGGCTCAGTGCTGTGTTCTTGTGATCCCAGCACTGGGGAGGCAGAGACAGGACACTCCCTGGGCCTACTGCAGCCAGCCTACCCACCTCAGTGAGCCCTACCACAGTGAGAGACCCTCCTTATGAAACAAGATGGGCAGCAGCTGAAGGAAACATCGAGGTTGACCTCTGGCCTCCACACGAACACACATAAACACATATACCCATATACATGTGTCCACATAAACATGTAGAAACACAAAAAATAAATACATTTTGTAATATATGTAATTTCTAATAATTGTAATTTCTACAATTCAAAATGGTATACAGAAAAGATGTAGACTGTAGGCTTGGTCTACGGGAAAGTAGGCTTCATCAAAATTCACTATGTACTTTAAATGCTTTAAATAGCATTTACATTTATCTATTTATTTATTTATTTGGTTGGTTGTTTGTTTGTTTGTTTTTAAGGCACAGTTTCTCTGTGTAGCCTTAGCTGTCCTGGACTCACTTTGTAGATCAGGCTGGACTCAAACTCACAGAGATCCGCCTGCCTCTGTCTCCAAAGTGCTGGAAGTAAAGGCATGTACCACCACACCTGGAGGTAAAACATTTACTTTTTAAAATTTTGTTAATATTACAAAAATTAGTTTTTTCCTCTCAAAGGAATGTGAGTTATGTGTGGCTTGTATAGATAAGTTTTAATTTCCTATATAAAAGGCAGATAGTTTTAAACAAAGTCACCTCTTTTGCTGAGCATTGGAGCACATTTCTATACTCTAAGTACTTGAGAGATAGAGAATGATTTCAAGGTCAACCTTGTCTACATAGCAAGCTAGAGACCAGCCTAGGCTACATAGGGACCTGTCTCAAAAAATTAAATAAATAAATAGATAATTAGCAAAGCATAACCTCAATCTATTTTTTGACAATAATATTCTTTCCTGTGTTTCAATCCCACACACACAAACTTTTGTAATTCTTTAGTTTTCTGGAGCTTTGGAAAATGCAAAAGCTGAGATTCAAAGACTGCAACAAGAAAAAGAACATTTCGAAGACACCATGAAGAAAGCATTCATGAGAGGGGTGTGTGCTTTAAACCTGGAAGCCATGACCATTTTTCAGAACAAAAATGACGCAGGTGAGCAATTCATGGAAGAGTCTCTTCTTAGACTGCTTATTCTGCTTGAGTCTCTGGAGCTAATCTTCTGCAATGGTGGTGTCTTGTCTCTCCATCATTCATTTATGGGTCCATAGGTCATACCCAGTTCTAATCTACTATAAGAGTTAGCTTGTTCATTGTTACCTGTACCGTAGAACTGATGGAGAGAACTCTCAGTTCTTATTTAAGCTAAGTATCTTAAAAAGGAACTTTTATTCACCTGTTTCATTTGTTGTCTTAGAGGCTCTGTCAGCCAATCTAGGCTTGGTCCTGGAAGTGTCTAGTCTCCATACAATCTTATCTAGGCCTAGAATATTTTCAGCCTCTGAGATTTACTGATGACTAAGCTCACCTTTTCTTGTTTTTGCTGAGTTCTGGTCTGGCTCGTTCAATTTAGCTGTTCTGGCTCTCCCAGGTGATTTATTTAATCTGGTTTCTCTCTCAGCCTTTGAATTGTTCTTCTTGGCCTCAAACTAAGTCAAACAATCTTCTCTAATCTCCTGGCTCCTTTTCATTCTCTGGTTCATTCAGTCTTCACCTGAGTTCTCTCTCTGCAACTTCTCTATTTCTGTCCTAATAAAACTGCCTCTCTCTCTCTCTCTCTCTCCCTCTCCCTCTCCTCTTAACCCTTAAGCAGCTTCCCTTTCATCTCTCTTCTCATGACAGTTGGGCATATCCTATTCTGTCAGATCTTTCTCTGATTTGTCACTTTTTCTACCACTCAATTAGACATCACTTTCAAACATGGCTGCTTCCTTTTACAAACTAACTTTACCTTCATTGATTGGGATTAAAGGCATGCACCACCACGCCTGGACCAAAGCTTTTCCTTACCTGAAACTTGCTCTAGACCAGGCTGGCCTTGAACTCAGATCTGCTTACCTCTGTCTCCTGGATTAAAGGCATGTTTGCATTCCAGCCAGATCACACAGACCTAGGAGGTCTTTGGATGTGATCTCTTGCCAGAGCAGCCATGTTCTGAAATAAAATTGCTCTACAAGTATCAAAATTATTCCTTCCCTCCTTTCTGTCCATTTATGTATTTATTTATTTGAGATAGCATCTAGTTCTATAACCCAGGCTGGCCTCAAATTCATGTCTTGTTTCAGCCTCCTGAGGACTGGGATTTTAGGCATGCATCACCATGTGCAGCCAAAGTAATGCTTAATTTTAACATTTAACATTTTGAGACCCTCTTAAACTAATAATTTTAATGCCTGTAAACATGAATTTTCTATTTTCATTTTTGCATGAAATTGCCAAATTTCATGGGCAGTTTTGCTGATTGCATATTTCTAAACTAGTCATAGTTTTCTAAAACCTAGGTTTAATTTTCTAAAACCTTTTTTTTTTTTTTTTTAAGTTCATGTAATACATGGAGTCTCTGTGTAGTAGTTTATTCTACATGGCTAAGAAAGTATAACCATTTGCTATCAGCTTATAGTGGGGCCAGTTCCCTTGCTGGTGCAAGCAAAGCCTGTAATATATCTGCTTCAGTGGGCTCTTATGGAGAGGCAGTGAAAAGAGGAAGGCACTCTGTGTGGCAGGACAGTCATGCAAGACCCTGCTTAAGAGAGATTGCCTTAAGTCAGTCTCCCAAGCTCATGTAAGTGCCTAACCGTTTCTTCACACTGCACCCTCAATATTGTATTCTCCTGTAATGTTGCCTCATATTACATTTAATTGGAAACTATGCTAATATATCAGAGACAACTGATCTCTCCTGTGAAAAACTTATCTGTGCTTGGCTTGCCTTTATTTTAAAGTGTCACCAAACGTGTTGTTTAAGTCATAAATATTACTGAATGATGGTGTTTGGGCATATTTTTCTTTTTTTCAGTTTTATTTTTTACTTTGTTATTATTATTATTTATAATTTTTTACTTTGTATTCCAGTTGTAGCCCCCTCCATCATCTCCTCTGGGTTGATCAACCTTCCCTCCTTCTTCCTCTTCTATCCCTCTTTCACTGATAGTGAAAGTCCTCCTCTTGGGCCTATTTTTCTATCAGAATTAGCCATGGCCTGTGGACTGAATGCAGTTTAGACACCAGCAACTTAGAATATCTCAAGGATGACTAGTACATCTCACTAATACCAAATGATTTGGCTATCACATTAACCCACAGTTATTTATTAGGTCCTTTTATTTGTTTATTGCTTTTTTATTATGTTTATTTATGTATCTGTTTGGGGGGAAGGAGGGACATACACAGGCCATGGCACATATGTGGATGTCAGCAAATAATCCATAGGAGTCAGTTCTTTCCTTCTACCAGGTTTTCTGCAATTGAACTCAGGCCGTTGGGTTTTGTGACAAGCACCATCACCAGATGAGCCGTCTTACCCACTCTGCTAAATCTTTTTATGAAAAAGTCAGAACATGACAATAAAACTTGAATCCTATTGGGGAGTTAGCTTATTTATGAGACTCTCATTTCATTGAAACAATTTCAGTCCCGTGAAAACTTACTTGGTTTTCATGCCTTCATTTTAAAGCATCCTTAAAATAATGGAGGTTGAGGTTTCAAGCAGTCTTAGTAGAAAAGTGAGAAAGATATCTCCCAGTTAAAGAGAGAAGAGCCAGTAAACCCAACAGTTACTGTGAACAGAAACTTCACAAATGAGCCCACAACAGCAAGAGTTGGTCACCTGCCTGTTCACACCTGACCTTTTTGCTGTTTGAAGTCATGTGTATCTGCCATGCAGAGTTACTTTCTGCCAAAAACATGTCAAACCTCGGGGTGGAGGTGGGAGGTGTGTGTCCAGGATGATGTGTGTTTGGGAGGATAGGGGAGAGAGAGAGAGAGAGAGAGAGAGAGAGAGAGAGAGAGCAGTTTTCAAATTGTAAGTGATGTTTTAAAAGGAATAGTTTCTTTCACCAGAGTTGGAAGAATCTTGGGACTATAACTGTTAAACTTTAACAAGGTAACAATTACTGTGTATAATGTGGAAATAGCTGACAGCCCGGCATCTGGATGGAAAGACGTGTAAAAAGTCTTTAAACACAATGTCTTCCTCAGTATCTACAACATCTCACTACATTTTCAAACACAGAGATACTCCAAGTGAAAACTAGCTAAATTCTAATTCTGAAAGGAAAAATCACAGACTGGGTGCAGCCCCTTGTCTTTCCTTCTGAAACTTGACTCCATCCACTTTGTAGATCGGGATGAGGTCCTTTGTGAGGAGCCACCCCAGCACTTAGTTCAGCAGGGGATGCTTTTCTGCTGGAGGAACCTGTTTCTTTGACTTAGGACTTGTTAAAATGTCAAGAGTGAAAACATTGTGTTTTGTCAAAACAGGAACAATAAATGGAAATGAGGAGGATGTTGATATGGGAAAATAATTGCAAAGCCCTAAAACCAGACCATTTGTCAAGATGGCTTTGTGGAGCAGGAAAGGCTGTATAGACCCTCTCACCCTGTGTGCCCAACAGATGTTCCCACAGTATCTGTGTTTCCATGGCAGCACACCTAGCCAGACTCCAGCAGAGCACATTCTTTTACGTTTAAGCAGATCATTTGTTAGTGTTTCCATGTTGGAGCTTTCATCCCATCTGAATTTAATAATGGTTAGTACTGACATCAGCCAGTTAACATTGACGCTATTAAATGAACAGTAAACCACCAAGATGACATTTATCTGCATTTTCATTAGGACTATCTTTTAGCCATTAGTCCTTTCCTTGTTTGGAGGGTATTAGTATTCATTTGGGCTACTGTTAATAGAATGGGTTTGTGATTTGTAGGGACAGACTTCACGAATAATAAAAAGGAGGAGAGTGGCGGTCTGGGAAGAGAACCTTCTGCTCATGTGGACACTTCTTCGTCTACCATGCCTTCAGCAGTTCCATTACAGCTGCTGCCATCTGTAACGGTAGGAGGCAGCGCCACTGCCGTTCCCTCCGCTGCGTCCATGACCTCTGCTGGAGCTACATCTGCCTCTTCTGTTCACGTTCCCGTCTCTGTTATTGGTGGTGGATCTTCAGCTAGTGCTGCCCCAGAAGAAATGGTTAGTACAATTTGTGCAAGTGCTACCAGTATAAAAGACTTCAACAGCATGTGTGTCTTGTGATGGTGCGTGTGGGGATTGGGCTTTGTATTTCTTCACTTGTTCGTTTTGTATGTGTGATTCTAAGTCCCAGACCCAGGCAAGCTCTCACCCCACAGAGCTCTAAATGGAGTATGGAGAAAAACAGTTAACGTGATACTTGGCCAACCCACAGGAAGTACTCAAGACAAAGTGGCTAAAGCATTAATTTGGAGTAAAAAGTAATCCAAAAATACTATTACAGATATAGTTGTGTTTAGTCTCACCTTAATTTCTTTTCTTTTACATTTTTAAAAATATCCAGAAAAAAAACTTTGAGAAAGAGTTAATAATGGACTTTCCTTGAAGCAAACTAGTGGGTGTTTTCAAGAGCCTAGGAGGCTCATGGATATTTTTCTATCCATTTTCTTCCCTAGGTGATCTATCACTTACAAGTGATTGTATCCCTGTTAGATGTTAATTCTAATCCATTGTTAAAATGAAGAGAGAGACAGTCTTTCCTGAGTCATTACACTTTTCCATGAGGGAAGTGCTTAGGAGTGTTGAACAAGAGCAGAGAGTTTGTGTGACAGTGTATATTTGTGGTTACAATGAGCTGTTGACAGAGCCCATCATGGCGGTGACTCAAGGGGAACAGAGTACCCACAGACAGCCACAAACTTGTCAGACTCAACTCTGCAGCCCTCCTTCCTGTCCAGTGTTGTTCTCACACAAAGGCATGTGAATATCTTAAAGTTTCTGAGGCAACTGTCTCCTTCCTCTCCTTGGCATAACAGAAAAGATGGCAAGAAGGACTGTAGGTCTTTTATCTCTCTCTTTTACTTTTTATCATGTTGGAGAGAAGCAGAGACAGAGAGCTAGACAGACAGACTCACTCACCCCAGGATGGCTTCAACTTTGCCGCAGGTTTCTGTCTCGCCTCTCTAGTATTGAGATAACAGGTATGAAAGCAGCATTCGGCTTGGTTGTAAGTCTTAAGTCCTTCCTGGCAGGCCATGGTCAGGCACTGTTGCTCTAGAGAGCTCTCCTTAAGTGGAGAGAGACCAAGAGTTGGCCAGACAAATGGTTGTATTTAGTCTTCTAGCCCACCTTAATTTCATTCTTTTAGAGCTACTAATTTTGGAGGAAACTATGTTGAGGTCAGCTACTTGCCATGTCTGCTCTTGCCTGAAGTTAAAGTGCATAGCACACATGTGGACATAGCAAGAGAAATCTGAATGTGTGGAGGAGTTTTGACTTCAAAACTAGACAAAATTTCAACCCTGATATATGTTCAGCTGTCTTTATTTTCCATGATTATACATTCTGAAGTGCAATCCTATGTAGATTATCTCATCTGAATAAACACAGGAGTTTATTCAGATTTCTGATTTGCCGTTCATGTTGCGTATGCAGATAACCTACACAGAGCTAGACTCTTCAGAATCTCTTTCTCGAAATAGGACTACATCAGCGTCTGCATCTGCGCCTGACCCTGCTTGCAAGTAGGCACATGAGTGAGCTTGCCCTCCCCGGCTGTCCTGGCTCACTCTGTAGACCAGACTGGCCACAAACTCATTATGGGATTTCTGAATGTGTATGAATGAATGGGACCCTGACTCCTGTGCCTTCTCTTGCTCTTGTTTTGTTGCTTGTTTTGTTTAATTCTGATGTATTGATTTTTTAAAATCATACTGTATTATTGTCCCTTAGAGACTGGTTTGTTTACTAATGGAGACATAAAGGAAGCAGATTCAGATGGGAGGGAAGTAGGGAAGAACTGGGAAACTGTAATCAGGGTATGTGAGGGAAAAATCTATCTTCAGTAAAAGGAGGGGGAAGAGTACGGTGTATATAAAAAAACTAGTATGATACTTGGGTCAACCCACAGAAAATGTTCAAGACAGAATATAGCTAAAATGTTAGTTGGTAGTGAAAAGTAATCCAAAAGGTGTTAAACCCAGATGCACAGCAAGTACCTGAAGAATTGGGAGAAAGGAGACTCACAGGAAATCCTTTCTGAAGTACAATGTAAGGGTTTCTCCTTTGTGTGATTCACAGACTCAGATTCGCTCCGAATATTGTTTTAAATCTTGTTTTAAAAAGAAGCGTAAGACCAACCTGTCCCAACTGCCCCCAACCCCCCCCACCACACACACACACACACACACACACACACACACACACACACACACCCACCCAAAAGACTTTACACGGTTATCCTAGGAGATTATGTTTCAACTCACAGAGCTGGACAGTAGGTGGCGCTGTACTCTTCTGATTCTAGCAGTGCAGTCAGAGCCACTGAGGGAACTGCCCTTGGTCATTTCCAAACTGTTTACTGACGTTTTTCCTCTAATTCTCCATCCATCAGAATGGAAAATGACACGTGTTGTGAGGTAGTTGATACTGTTTTCCCATTTGATAAATGAAACTGAGGCTTATAGAGGGTAACCCTGTGGATGTGATTAGTAGCTGTTACTCCCTGACACGAGTAGGAACAGTAAGTGACATGCTCAGGAGCCAATTTCCAATGAACAGCCAGGCTAGATGTGGTCACTGGCTGTAAATAATCCACTTTTCTAGTATAAGTCTTACTCAGGGTGTTCTTTTTTTTAATTTTTCAATGTCAGTTTCTGCAAAATATTATGAACTAGCAAAATGTTCACCACTGTCTACTAAGAGTTTTGTTTTCTCCTGCACTCCTGATTTAACAGCAGTATTTTCTAATAATTTTCATGTAAGTCTTTTCTAAAACATCCTTATGCATTTTTAACACAGCTCTTTTTCTCACCAATTTAAACTATTGTGTTACCTAAGTATTTTGTGAATTTATGTGCTGTGTGTGGTGGGAGATGCCCAAAAGAGGCCTCTGCTTTCCTGGAGCTGCAGTTTGAAGGTGCTTATGCCAGGAGGTTCTCAGCCACCCACTGTGTGCTGAGAACAAAACCCAGGTGCTCTGAAGAGCAGGAAGTGCTCTTAACTGCACTACCTCTCCAGCCTCTACTTACTGTATAGACAACACAGTTAGCAAGTGGCAAGCCCTTGAAAGCAGACAACTCTTACCGACATGCAGGCCATTGAAACTTGTGCGGCTGCAGATGGGATCTTTGTATGTGTCTTCAGCAGAGGAGCTCTTTTCATCCCATTGGACGAATCCAAAAGCAGGTCTTAGCCGAGTGGGAGGTGACTGATGATCCGTATTTCATGGCGACTCTGGGGTTTCTCATTCCGAGCTTTTCTTGCATTCTCTTCCTCTCCTGGTGAGTGAGTCCTATGGAGGGCGTGTTTAACACCTTCAGGTGTCATTAGAGGCTGAGTTGGGCCCAGTTTGATCATTAGTTGCTGAGGCTTTTTATTCCCAGTGCCAGTTCCCCTGGCTAAGAATTACAGGCGGTTGGGTTGTGTGGCAGCTGAGTTGGCTGCTGGGGTTCAAACTCAGTCTCTGTGAAAAGCAGTATTTGCATTACCACTGAGCCAGTTTGCAGCTCTGTGAATGTCTTAAAACCCTAACACTCATAAAGTTCACTAATTAAAAATGCAGTCTCTACATTTTCAGCAGAGCCCTTCAGCCCCTCCGCAGGCCATTGGCTGTTTCTCCCCAGTACCTGTTCCTGAGCAGTGTGTTCAGTCGCTGTTCCTTCACTAATCTGAAACATTCTCCATTGACTTCCTCCTATGGATGAAGATTTGGCCTTCTGGCAGAGTCTTATCCTTCTGCTGTCCCCACCCTCCTCCTTCCTGTTTGTTAATGTTTAGATAAAGCTTTTCCAGCTTTAAATTAAACCAGTCCTTGAGACTCCTGTATAAATATAGCTAAGCCGTGAATATGTATATAATGACATTTCCATGTTTTTTTTTGTTCCTAGAATTAATTGCTTCATTTTTGCCTTTGCTTAGGTTTTTATGGAACTATAATGAATTCTTTCCAGATTCTTTAAGGAATTCTTTAAGTGTTGTTTTTGGAGGGTGGTTGATTTAATTTCCCCAAGTCCCTTTGATTATCTTCTCCCTGAGTCAGTAGACACCTTTGATCATCTGCAGCTGAGTGAAGATAAAGAGAGACCCTTGAATGGGCCAGACCGTGGGGGGGAATCAATATTCAATCAATGCTTTTAGAAGAACCATTAAAAACATGCATTTAGATTAATATTTCACACTGCCTTTTTAGTTATTCCAAAATCAGTACATGTTAGAAGAGCATAATTACGCTAGCTGTCCAAAGCTGATTATTTTCTCCTTCAAGAAAGAAGAGTGACTGATAAGATTAAAGACCATGGACATTGGACAATAAAACATGGGCCTGGGGAGGTGGCTCAGCTTGTAAAAGTACTTGAGGACATAATTTCAAATCCCAGCACTTATTTTCAATAAAGCCAGGCATGGTTGCTCATGAATATAGCCTTAGCATAGGAGGCTAGGGATGGGCAGGGGACAGATAGGTGGCCTGGGAGCTCAGTGGCCAGCCAGCCAGCCTAAATGGAACAGGGAGCTTCTGCTTGAGTGAGAGACCCTGCCTCAAGGTGTTATGTCTGAGAGCAATAGAGAGGTGCCTGGCATCTTCCTCCAGCTTGTGCATGTGCATGTGCAAGAATACACACACAGAATGAACACCCAAAGAAGAAGGAAGAAAATGCATAGGGAGAATGTTTATAGTTAGTAAGTGTCTGCAGTCCCTCAGTGTCATTAATATTCATCAGGAACTATTAAAACTTTTTTATTTGTTGAGCTTGGGGATCAAACCCATAGGTCCATTCATGGTAGACTAAAACCACTTGGTAATACTCCCAGCCCAGCTGGTGTGTGTGTGTGTGTGTGTGTGTTTAATGTTTGAGACAGAATCTTACTGTGCATCTTAGGCTTGTGATCCTTCTGGTCCTCCTGAATTAGCCTCCCAGGTGCTGGACTCACAAGTTCAAGTCACCTGCCCAGATGTTTGGAACTGTTGTATTGTTTGATTAGCAGCTGTCCTTCTGCTTCTGGCCAACAGTTAAAAGAGCTAACAAGTTACAATGTCATATGAAACCTTAATGAAGAACTACAGGTTAAACAAAGACCACAACTTTACACTGTGGTGAGCACCTATGTAATTAATTAACAGTGAGAAAGAAAATTATACATCACTCTTGATATACATGTAATCTTTCTTCAGTATCATCCACAGCTAACAAATAAAAGCTTTAAATGTTGAAGCTACTTTTTGTACTCCTACAAACATAATTGCAATGTTTTAAAAAAAAAAATACTAAATGCAATAGGAAGAGAACAGACAAAAAGAAACTAGTCTGTTGTATGAAATCATTCTTTAAAAATTATTTCACTGACTGGAGAAATGGCTCAAAGGCTAAGAGCACTGGCTGTTCTTCCAGAGATCCTGAGTTCAATTTCCAGCAACCTCATGGTGGCTCACGGCCATATGTAGTGGGATCTGGTGCCCTCTTCTGGTATGTGTGAAAACAGAGCACTCTTATATATAAAAGTATAATGAATAAATTTTTTAAAAATAAATAAAAATTATTTTAGGTGCCTGTATTCATTGAAACATATTGATAAAGTTTTTTTTAAAGAAGGACAAAAACATGTAATGACAATAGTTCTACCTAAGGACTAAAGTCATCATAGAGAGAATGGTTGATATTACAGAGAATGAGTAGGAGAGGTGGTATGTGGTTTGGTTTGGTTTGGTTGTAAAGAATCTGCATGTAATAAAATGGCACAGATGTGTGCACAGACAGGCTGCCAACATCAGCATGCTGGTGTCAATGTGGTTTTACTTCAAGTAAGTCTTGATCCTTGAAGGAAACTTAAGAAGACACACAGGAGACTTCCTAGGAATCTGTCATTTCAAATTAAGGGTTTAAATCTCAAAAACTTTTTTAAAAGAGTTGGCATGTCAAGGTCGGAGGAATATTTTGGAGTTAGGGAATTTGGGGTTTCTGTTTCACTTTCTTTCTCTCATTAGGTTTTAAGTACTGTGTGCTTTCTTCGAAAGTTACAGAACTGCTAATGGAAACCGTGCAGTGGCTCTTCCATCACTGAGTTTTTGTTTTTGTTTTGTAGTACATGCCAAGAGTTGTGACGTCAGCACAACAGAAAGCCGGGAGGACAATCACAGCTCGGATCACGGGTCGGTGTGATTTTGCTTCCAAAACTAGAGTCAACAGCAGTTTGGCTATAATGGGAGTCTCTCCTCCCATGAGCTCGGTCGTCGTGGAGAAGCATCATCCAGTCACAGTGGTAGGTCCTGTACGGAAGTCTTCGTGAGTGTGTCTCCTAGTCAGCTCTGACATTCATGCTTGGTCATTGTTTTGACATTTACTCTTTTCTGTACAAACCACACCTAACAAATTTCCCGTTAAGAAATATGCTTATTTCAAATGGCATAAAAAAATCTTCAGATAGAAAAAGTAAACCAGCATGTCGACTGCTAAAACAGTAAACTATGTAAAGATTACATGCCAAACAAACGAAAAACAGTTGTAAACCAACTATCATGCCACAGATACTTGATTATAAGAAAAGGTCCTTGCCTGAGAGTCTTCTCGCCCTTGGCTTCTTCAGTCTCTTGTAATAGCATACCCAGCATATCTCTACATTAAAAGATAGTGAGTTGCAAGAGTAGACTGGAAGCAGGGGTAAGGATGACCTTCCCTATCATCATCTCCATTTTGCTGCATCTGGACAGGACATCAAGTCCAAGAGTTCAGTAGTTCAGTAGGGTTGGTGAGACTAATGAGCTTCAGGGACATTGTCAGGATTCTGAGTTAAGTGAGATAATACAAAAAAATTAAGTGACATACAGAGGCACTTGTCAACTACAAGACCACTAGGAACCCTGACTTACCAAAATGTTATAAGAAAAAGAACATGAGATTTTTCTGTTTCTTTTCTTTTAATCTTTGAGTGTTTGCGTGCATGTATGTCTATGCACCATGTATATGGCTGGTCCAGAAGAGGGTATCGAATACTGGGATTACAGTATTCACCTGGGATTACAGGTGGTTGTGAGCCACTATGTGGGTGCTGGGCATCAAACCTCAGTCCTCTGGAAGAGCTGCCCGTGCTCTTACCTGCTGAGCTGCCTCTCCAGCCCGAGCATTTTAGAGGGGTAAAAAATTGGAGAAGTAGAAATCTTTTCTTCAAGTTAAGTTTTTATTGAATTAAAATATATCATTTCTCCAATAGTTCCTACCCACCCCCAATGTCTGACTTCCCTTCTCCCTCCAAAATTCAGCTTGTTTTATATTTGCTTCTTGTTCTGATGGAGTAGAATTTACATACCTAAATCATTTATTCTCTCAATATTGTATTGTCCTTTCCTGCTTTCCTTATTCTCCTCAACTCAGTTGTGGTCCGCTATACTGTTTTGTTTACCAAGAATCGAGATCTAAAACTAGCAGAAACGATTATTGCCAGTAAAGCACGAATCTGTTTGTAGCACCTTCGCCCATCTGCTGGGTATTTACTTGCTTCTGGAGCTAATTTCATGCTCTGTCATATTTTGTAGATCATAATACCCATGGGAACCCTAATCTGTTTCTGAGGTTTCTCTTACCCATCCTCAAGGAGAAACAGTTTTGATAAATAGTGTTGTATTTAATGGATGCTTGGCAACTAAAATTTCATTATCAGCTGCAAGAATCTCCCATTTGTAATGGTTATCCAGATGTTTATAGTTGAAGAAACATCTGTATAAGATACCTTAAGATAGGAGACTACTTTTCTATTTCTCCATAGAGGAGTTCTCACTTTTAAGACAGAACTGCACATGAGAACCCTGTTTCTAAGAAGTTTATTTTTTGCCAGGCATGGTGGCGCAAGCCTTTAATTCTAGCACTAAGGGAGGCAGAGGTAGGCAGATCTCTGTGAGTTCGAGGTCAGTCTGGTCTACAAAGCAAGTCAAGGACAGCCAAGACTATACAGAAAAACCCTGTCTCGGGGGAGGGGGGTCTATTTTTTAAAGAAAATTATGCAGTCTTGGAAATACATGGTAAATATGTTGGCTTAATGCATTTCATAAATTTTATGTGTATGAGTGTTTTGCCCACACATATGTCTGTGCACCACCATGTGTCTTCCTGGTGTCCACAGAGGCCATTCCTGTGAGTCACTGCATAAGTGCTAGGAACCAAACCCAGGTCCTCTTAACTGCCTCTAATGCATAAAATTGTACTTGAAATATTTTAAGGATAATTTTTCTTAGTGGAAGAGCCTATAATAGAAGTCTGTGTGTACATGGCTAAGAACTTAACTTGATAGAAATGTCACTAGCAGCTACTAAGACATTGTAGCAGGTACAATAAGGTCTTAACCCTTTTCATGTGTATGGGTAACATACTTATATGCACAGTGCATATTCTTACATGGAACCCCTGTGGACTGAGCCAATTCTTTAACACTCATGTCTTGATGTCCTCTGGAACTTTGAGCTGGTATGCAGATTATCTTCTGCCCTCTGTCTATCTGTATTTGCTCTCCACATCCGTTTCTTATCTTGTTTAAGAAATTGGCCAACCAGGTATGGTGACATGTTTCTTATTCTCAGCATTCCACAAGCTGGGCAGATGGATCACAAGTTCAGTCTGGACTGCAAAGCAAGAGCCCATTAAGGAAAGAGACATTAAGGGAGCCAGCCCTGTGTCTTCTGGGAAGCCATCTATTGTATGACTGTAAAATGTCCAGTCTGCTCCCAAGTGCAACCTGAGGTCTATGTTACCATGGTTTGACCTAGGCTGGATAGAATAAAGCAGGAACTATCTGGAGCTGACCCTCAGTCCAGACACCACAAAGTCACTTTCTGTACTTGACCTCTGTCGACCTTTTCCTCTTAGACCTCTTAAAACAGTGATTCCCAAGACACTGAAAAAAAGGCCCTGGTTTAAATGTGGTTATTGAACCGGTAGGTTCCTTTTCAGGGAAGGGCTTTACTGTGTTTGTTTGAATGGCAACTCCACCCAGGGCACTGCTATTATCTATGGGATGCCTTTGTCTGTTGGTTTGGGTTATAGGTGATGACATGATACTTCACATCTAGACTCTTAGAGTATTAAAGCAGCCTCTTATCTTCACAGCAAACCATTCCTCAAGCAGCTGCTGCAAAGTACCCACGGACCATCCATCCCGAAGGTGGTATCCCAACTTCCAGGTCTCTTGGAGCCAGGCCAGCCCACACCCAGTCTCTCTCCAGCGTTCAGTCCATAAAAGTGGTTGACTAGAGGGACTGTCCACACGCAGGTCTTTTCGTTTCTCTGAGAAGGACTTTCCTGGAAGCGGGAAGCTTTTGGGTTATGACTTTTCTGTACTGCTAGAACATCATGGACACATCATGTTCATCTTTCCAGAATTACAAAAAACTTTCCCATCCTTTGTAACTGTATATATAGATTATTTTAATGTTATTTTTATTTAAAGAATTAAGTAGAAGTTTTTAATTAAAAAAAAAAAAAACTTGGTTCTGAACATGTTCAGCCTGCTACTGATTGCATCATTGAAGAATATACATCTTTTTCTATACATTATTCCTAAAAGAATCATTTCCATATTACTTAGTTGTAATTTACACACTTTGAAAGGGAACTTTACTGTCATTACTAAAACTAGTAGAGCGATTTTAATATTTAAATAAAGACCAGAGTAACTGATATTTCTAAACACAGAACTTTTTCTGTGTTCAGTGAATTAGTCTTTATCTTTAGGACTCTACAATTAAACACTGAGGAAAATAGGCAACATCGGTGAATATTTTTAAGACCAAAAGAGAAGAAAGTTTTTAATTAGCACCAAAACAAAAAGGAATTCCCTACTGGTATGACCCTGCTTCCATTGTTTTCTCATCTTGTTGAGGGTTGCAGCATTAAGCCTGCCTACACCCCTCTGCATATCTTCACGTGTGCTGCAGAGGGTCACCCTGCAAGACATCAGGTCTTTTAGCCTGAGCATAAACTTTCCAGTGGCTGGCCAGTGTGACCAGGCCATCTGAGCAAAGCATGGCAGTACATGCTTTTAATCCCACCACTGGGGAGGCAGAGGTAATTGGCTCTGTGAGGCCAGCCTGGTCTACATAGTGAGTTCCAGGCCAGCCAGGGCTGTGTAGAGAAATCCTGTCTCAAAAAACAGAAAGAGAAGAGAGAGAGAGATAGGAGAAAAGGTCTCCATGGTTTTATTGCTGGCCCTGTTCTCTTAGCCAAACATTTAATTAAAGGATTTCAGGATCTTCATCTGTGATGTGAGTAGAATGTACTTCTCTTCCCTGTGTGACACTGTCCATCTGGGCCTCCATTTCCAGACATGGGTGGGTTTGGTCATTTGAAGCCTCTGTCAGTTTGAGCATGATCTACATCTGTGCTCTCTCATTTTATTACAAAAAGTCGTTTTTCTTGCTGCCTCACACTTCAGAGACTAAATGGGATATAGGCAAACACAATTCCATTTTATAACAAGTACTTAAGGCTTTTCTAAATTACAGGCGTATCAGGCAGTGGCCCAGCTACTGCTGTTGCAAAACCTCATTTGATTAGGTGGGTGAAGAGCAGCAGTACCTCCTTTCTCCTTTCCTCTGGGCGTGCTCTCAGGAAAGCCAGAAGGAATGCTAGGCTACCCTAAGAAAGCACTCATGTGACCCAGAATGAAAGCCCCACTGTATGGAACTCAAGAGATGACTCTGAACCACTGAGCACTTGCTGCTCCTGCAGATAATGCTAGTTCTTTTCGCAGCACCCGCTTGGCAGCTTAAAACCATCTGTAACTCCATTCAGAAAACTCAACACTCCCTACTGGCCTTGGCAGGCACCAGGCATGCATGTGTATGTGCATAACAGCCAAACACATACATTTAAATCTTTAGAGCACATGGTGACAATGGATCAATTCTTCCTCCATCCTCCCCTGTTTGAACCACCCTGTGATGCGTTAATCCATCCCATCTTGGAACACAATGTCCTTAGGACCAGGTAGCCAAACTTGACACCAACTGGAGCTATTTGGTAGCATCCTCGCCTTGCTTCTCCTGGTCATCATGGCCATTTTCTACAGAAATCTTAGGCTCAACCTTTGAGGAGCCCATACTGAAGCTAGGTTTTCAGTATCCAAGCCAAGTCATGTGGCTAGGACGGTTACAGGCATCGCCTAACTCTAAAAGTGCTGCATGCTGTTCAACAGATAATTCATATTGGCCTGAGCAACATAACAAGCTTGATGGTGAAACATTCTCTATGCTAAGTATGTATTTGTGTTTCTTTCATATACAGAGGTTAAGTTGGGGGAGACATGCTAGCAAAGTCAGTAGAAACTGGCCAAACTGAAGAACAGACTGAGAAGGGAGTTTTTATTTAATACTATTTTAAATTCTGTAATCTTGTGAATATATTGCCTGTTTTAAGCATTCCTAGCATTAAGTGGGCCATTTACAATCAATATAGGAAAAACTTGAAACTGCAAATTCATGACAGAATAACTAAATTGCCCATGATTTTCTTACCAGCTTTGACTGAGAATCAGAATTGGACTCTAGGAAGGCATACATCCATGAAAACTGATACCTTTCATAACTTTCTCAGATTAAAAAAAGTAATGCTTATTTGTTGTGAACAAAAATAGAATGTACTGGAAAGTACGAAGAATTAAAATTACCCAATTTTAGAATACAAATGGTTTAAAAATTACTGGTATGTGTCTGGTTTTTTCCTGAAAAAATGGATTACGCTTGTATGGTATAAAGCCAGCAGTGACTGAATTTCCAAACGCAGTTCCTTTACAATAAGAGTTTATGACTTGCATACCATGGCTTGAGGTCAGACATTCACAGATGTTTTCCCTTCATCTTCACCCCAGTCTCTGGAGGAAACATTTTGTCTATCAGAAAAGGAAGCTAAAGATGAGGACATCAGTAATATTACATGCCTGCTTCTCACAGCGAGAAGTCCAGAGTTTAAAGTTAGAATCTTAGGGCAGCATGACTGAAGTCCTGTGTAAAAGTTTAGACAAAGGACCGGGTTAATTAAGACATGTCTGGCCAGCTGCAGGGAATAATCAGGCTTGACCATATTCCTCGTTACACTTAAGAGATAATCATTTCCTGGCAACCCACCCAGATGGCCTCTAGCTTGTGACCACAGAGAATGCTAATTGATCTTCCCTAGCAACAGCTAATCAGCACATTTCAGGCATTACTCATGATCAAATACTCTCCAAACAGCTGGGCTAGAACCAATTTATGGTCTTGACGCCTAAAGTAAACCCCTACCCAACACTTGTAGCCCCCGCTTGTGGTTTTGCCCTTTAAAAACCTTGTTCCCCTAGAGCTCTGGGTCATACCCCTCCTGCTTTAACAGAGAAGTTGCTGTGATCCAAGCTTGAGCTTGTAGCCAATAAATTCTCATGTGTTTTGCATCAGATTCAACTCCTGGTGGTCTTTTGGGGTCTCACTATCCGGGTACAACAAACAGCCAAGCATCCAATGTCAGAGCTGCCTCTCCTAGCCCTTGTTTTCCCATGTGCCACCATGCTGCTCCTACAATAAGTTTGTCTTTAAGCATGAATAGAACCCTTCCAGCTATGCTGTTCCATGTGTGCGTCAAATGACAGAAATGGAAAAGTCACACACCATTTGCCTCAAGAAAACAGCAAAGCCAATGTGTGGCCTGGAGCAGTGGGAAGGTGGTGCGTTCCCATCCATTCTTGGAGGGGCATTGTCTTTGTACTGGAAAATCAGTCTACTGCAGGGTGGCTGTGGCAATCAGGGACTGAAGTGAACAAACAGAATGAGGAGAGGGAAGCTATTTGAACTGTTTCTCCAGCTTAAGAGACTGCACATTTCTTGGAGCTTGAGTCAGTTTTACTTTTGACCTGACGAATCTTTTCTGGAAAAAAGCAGATAACATCTTAGGGTTACTACTGCAGTGATGAAACACCATAACTAAAAGCAACTTGTAAAGGAAAAGCTTTGTTTTACATATTCTGAATCACAATCCCTTGAGGAAAACTAAAGCAGGAACTCAAACAAGGCAGGGTCCTGGAGGCAGGAGCTGATGCAGAGGCCATGGAGGAGTGTTGCTAACTGGCTTGGCTATCCATGGCTTGCTCAGTCTGCTTTCTTATAGAACCCAGGACCACCAGCCTTGGGGCAGCACCACCCACAATGGGCTGGGTCCTCCTGTGTCACTAATTAAGGAGATGCCCTACAGGCTTGCCTACAGTCAGACCTTACGGAAGCATTTTCTTAGTTGAGGTTCCCTCTCCTGAGGTGACTCCAGCTTGCGTCAAATTGGCATAAAAACTAGCCAGCACACACATTCAAGAAGAACAGCTACTGTTCTTAAATGTGGTCTGCTATGTCCCAGGCACCGTTCATCTGTTCCACAGCAGCCTTTAGGCCTGGATGCTGTTTGCTTCCCTCGTTTAGAAAGGGAACACTGGTGCAAAGAGGCTGGAGAACCTGCTGAAGATCACAGGGCCAAGGCAAACCCTCACAACACAGCCCAGCCACCTCCTCAAACTGTTTTCATCTTCCCTGAGTTTGCATCAACACTTTCATTGGAAAGAACATGTTTAAAGTTGCTGGGCCTCCTGCCATGGTGCTCCTGTCCTGCAATGCAGGTATCTGCAGTGCCTAAAACAATGCTGGTTTGGCTGCCAGAATGACACAGGGATGTGCTCAGCTCTCAGTGGAACTGCCTCTGTGAAAACAACAGCAGACACCTCTCCACTCTTTTCTTCAGTGGCTGTCATTACAGGAGAGTTTCAAAGCCACTCAGCATTGTTTTCAAAGAATGCTCCCTGACAACATGTTGGTCAATAACCTGGGATGTGCTTTTCTGTAACAGCGTCAGCTGGCAAAGCAACAGCCTGTGTGTGCTTCTTTCTACCTAGAGAGAACATCTTCACAGGCACTAAGGTGATGGAGTTCGCCAATAGAAACAAGTAGCTTTTGGAGGAAGATAATTTCTTGCTCAGGTGTGAAGAGGAGTCCTTATTATAGAAGGTGGCCGAGCATTTGCATCCCACCCTACACAGAAATACCCTCCCACCTCGTTCAAATGCTGAAACTGGTGAGCGCTGACCAGTTGACTTACCCAAGGCGGAAGCTGCTGGGTGCACAGGAGCACCTTCCACATATCATGTTCTCTTTTGGCCAGCCAACCTCCATTCAGACTGCGGCTACTCAGGGAGGAACCCCCGACCCACCACTAAAGGGAGAAGGGATTTCTGTAGTTTGTAGCAAACTCACCAGCTACTCCTGGGAATCCTGCTCGAACCAGCTCCTCATACAGCTGCTTGGCAGGGTCAGGCTGTGTCATCAGAGCCCCGTGCAGCCAGATGAGCAGAGCCCTGTAACCATGCTCACGGAAGCTGTCACTCCCTGTGTCAGGGAGAAGGCCCAGAGTGAAGCATCATGCACTGATGTGTCTTTGTGACATGTCTCAATTCTAATCAGGTTTTAAAGTGACTACTATTGTCCATCCATTCCTTCTCCCTGATCTGTGAGGTCAAAAGCCCAGTGACGAGAGGAAGCCCTGTGATTCCTCACTGGTGGTGTGCACTGATGAGCAGTTTGGACACCAGGCAGGCTGGCCGGCTCCTTCTGATAGGGGCACCCTGAGAGCAGGTGAGGTGGGGTGGAGGGCTGTAAAGGACCTTGATGCCTGCTTGGTGGTGACAGACAATCCCCATGAGATACGGGGTCTTCTAGAAGGTCCAGCTCAGAGTACATGTTTTCCCTGGGCAGCTTGTGAAAATGTAGATTTTGAATCAATTGAATGACAGTCCACAGTGTGAGAAATTCCCGCTGCTCTGTAAATCACCGAGCATCAAGCATGTGCCAAATAGCACTCCAGTTCAGCAGGTCGATAGCGAAGGTCAGGATTATGCATTCTGAAAGTTCCTTAGCCCTCACCCCTGAGAGGTTAGGAGAGGTATCTGAAGAGAAGGACAATCTGTTGCTACCTCGGACAGTTCACAGCCGCAAACACATAGTAGGCTCCGTGGGACAGATGCTACAAAAGGAGCCTGGAATCTTGGCAAGAGCCATGTGCTCCTCAACAAATTAATTTTTCTTCAGTACCAACATGTCATTCTTTGCTCAAAACCCTACAAACTTCCCAGTGCCAGTTGCCTTGAGAACTAAAATCTGATCGGATTATGAATGTCAAAACTATGCTAGTGAGATTGTGCATGTGTGAGACTTACAGATGATGTAAGAACCCTTTCCCAGAAGGAGAGGAGGACCTCCCCTATCAGTGGACTTGGGGAGGGGCATGCATGCAGAAAGGGGAGGGATCGGGAGGGGAGGAGGGAGAGGCTTATGGGGGGATACAAAATGAATAAAGTATAATTAATAAAAGTTAAATAAAAAATTTAAAAAAAAGAACCCTTTCCCCCAGCCTGGTAAGGGGATTCTTTCTGGGCAGAAACCTTCAACAGTGAGCTCTTCTGTGGCAGAGTAAGACCTTTCATCCGGAACTGCAGGGAGCCAAAGCTATCTACTGAAGCCAAAGTCAAACAGTGAGCCTAAGCTATCTAGTGGAGACAAAGCTATTTACTGAAGCCAAAGCCAAGTAGTGAGCAAAGGTCATTTAGTGGAGACCTAAAGCTATTTAGTTGAAGAGTTACCTAGGACCCTAAATCATGGGTGATAGATTTGTGGGGACATCCATCTGTTAGTTTTAGAGCATCTGTGAGATACCTTAAGAAAACATCCTTGCGGTATCTTGCAGGTGCAATATTTAACCCATGAAAGCACTCTTCCTATCTTCTGCGGCAGTAAATTAACTTTCCCCCCTTTCCTGCCTTCTCCCTATATAAGTTGGGTAAAAATTTTTAATAAACGAGGCTTTGATCAGACGAACAGACTTGGCCTTCATTTCTTGCGCTTCTCGTCCCTTCCCCCCCATTCCTTCCAATCTCCCCCTTACATTAGGAACCCCATTGAAGCCCCGAGGGTCGGGGAATGGAATGGTCTGAAGTTTTGGTGAAAAGCCATACTGGCATTCCCGAGGCATGCCAGGGGTTGAATCCTCCCTTCTTTAGTTCCTACTCAATTGTGAAGCCTTAATTTTTTTTAGGCCAAAATAGTCAGCCTTTGCAAGGGCAGCAGGCTGAAGATTTTCAGGAATGTGGCCTTCTGCTAAATTCCCAAACACCCTTGCAAACTGAGACACACTAACTGCCCTTATTGCAGTGACCCCTGGACTCTGCGTAGACTGGAAACTTATGGAAGGAAGGGACACTGCTGCTCCTAACTGAAGGTCTTCCTGTCCTGTCCGTGTCTTCTGACCACTTACCTGACCACTGTTCCTCGATGGCTCTGATCTGGTCCTCCGTAAAGCTCCATAAGCGGGCCAGCCTCTGCCAGTCATTATCCTTCAGCTGCCGGTAGGCCAGGTCCCAAAGGCACATTCGGATATGCCTGGTCTCCAGACTGTGGTCCTGCTTGAATGTCAGTGTAGCACTTCCTGCTGAGTCCTGGAGGCTCTCATAGTTCTCCTACATTTAAAAATAGCTGTACCAGGTTATTGACAACATGCTTGCTCGTTACCTTATGTCATAAAAAATTGATAAAGCAGCAGCTGGCACTTTTCAATCTGTCCTAGATCATCTTTTGTCATCCAGGTTGGACAGAAATGTCTGGAACAAAAGCATGGGTGCTGTGTCTGAAAGAGCAAGTGGGAGCGATTCTGCGGTGCTGTGTCTGTGTGACTGCCTGATATCTGCCCATTTCCAAGGAGAACAGAGGGGATGTGTTAGCATGTGAAACATCACAACAGCCTTAATGGCCTTATTCTCAATACTTAGCCCTCTTTCTTCCTTGGTGTATTTGATTTTCTTTTGACACCTTAGTTGCATTCAGATTGGATACATTCTTAATAAAACCTCATAGCTCTTCTTTCTGATCTTTTCTGAGTAGACTAGAAGCCTAACTCAGGGTAGAGTGGGGTGGGATGGGGTGTGTTAGGGCAGGGTAGGGTGGGATGTGTTGGGGTAGGGTGGGGTGGGACAGTAGGGTAGGGTAGGTAGGGTGGGGTAGGGTAGGGTTGGGAAAAGGGAGACACAGTGAACGAAACCAAGCGGCCGTCATTTCATTTTAGCCAGTGCAACCATGCTAAGCCCGACAGCCCTGTACCTAGACTGGTCTCTTGTGTACCGGCCTTCCTAAGCTGCTTTCCTTCTTCTCGGTGGGATCTACCACTGACTTGCGTAATCAGCGTCTCAAAAGCACTAGAGAAAGAGGCTCAGAGGAGAAGCAAGTGCCGTGGCTTCCTAGAACTGCATTCACACATATGCCATTCGGGCTAGGTAATCCCCCTGTTTTCATGTATAATGACTTCTATTTTAGTCTTTCATTTAAATAAACATGAATCTTAATGAAAGATACTCTAAAACCAAGATGAGAGTTAATACCAGGGAGGAAATGGGCAAAGGGGTACGGGACCCTGCCTTTCAAAACTTTTAAGAGCTTAGGAGGCCTGCACTCAGCCCTCACCATGCATTGGCCTGCACCCATCATGAGTCAGCAGCCTCCTCCAAAAAGCTCTGCACACACCTGGGGATCTCAGCCAAGGAGAAGGGCAAGGCTTTCTTCTGGTATTAGGCCTTATGTGCAAAAACAGGGGTAGGAATGGGAGGTGTGAGTTATCCACAGCCATTCAAAAAATGAAGTCTCCGGGCTTTCCTGCCATGATGCCTTGTTTCCAGGAGTCTGAAGAGTTACGATGGGAAAACCAAAAAAAAAAAAAAAAAAACTGCCTTTTTTCCTCATCCCTTTTCATAAAGCCACACAACCAATAAGATCAAAACATCAAACAGCATGAGTAGAGAAGAGAGCAGGCTGATTCTGCGTTCATATTTGCTCTATGCACTTTTATTTCTCAAACACTCATGCATTCTTTGCATTCTAGGACTCGGGAGAGGGTGGGCATACAGGCTTCTGTAGACGAGACCAGGGGCTTGGAAAGCCAGGATCTTTTCTAACAGTGACAGAGTTGCTAGAATGTCAGAAGTGGTGGCACGAAAGCAGCACAAACCAGGGCTGGCAACAGTCACTGAAAGTGATTCCTGCACAGCCTGACAGCTTCATCCTTGGAACCCGGTTTAAAAAGCTGAGTGCGCTGGGACTCATCTGTAAGCCCAGGAAGGTGAGAGAAAGAAAAGAATCACTCAGAAGCTGTAAGGTCAAGTACTCAAGCACTGTAGGACACAAGATCAACAGGAACAACAGGAGAGACCATGCCTCAAAGTAAGCAGCGGGCACTGCCTCTCAAAGTCATGCTCTCATGCTCTCTCTCTCTCATCTATGTGTGTGTGTGTATCTGTCTTTCTCTCTATGCACACACACACCACAGTAATAACAAATATATAAAACAAACTTTTAAATAGCTTAAGGAAGGTTTAAGAAGAATCCTTTGCCTCTGAACCACTGAATTTAACGATGGATAGTGTTAACTATGTACGTGTATATACAGAGACAATATACAGGTAATTTAAATCAGATGTACATATAGATATAACATATGCAAGGAGATATAAAAATAAAGTTCTAATTATCTCTTTAAACTTTGTATTAGTAATTATTTTATACCAAATCAATATATAAACTTGTCTGATTAACAAAAAAATATTTAAAATAATAAGTGCACTTGGTAAACTTAAAAATAAATTAATGCTATGTATTTAAAAGCAAGTTTCCCCAGGATCCCAGCTGTTACCAGAGTTCTCACCATACCATTTCTCAAGTCTTCCTTCAGCTATATTTGTTCATTATACAAGGTTCTCAAAGTTTATCATCCACTTACCTCTCAAGGACTTGCTAGAAAAGGCCTGTTTTGTGCAAAAGTCATTTATTCTCATCTAGCCAAAAGAATATGAACCTTCTACCAGGCATTAAAAATAGGAGGAACAGCTTAATTTTTCAATGCAAATGTAGAAAACCATTTAAAGAACAAGAGAAAAGGAACCTGAGTCTTTAGTAACATAAAGATCATTTAAGAAAATGAACAGAAGGATAAGGAAGTAAGAAGACAAGAAAGGAACAATAAAAATAAGTCAGAGAAGATTAAACAGAAATTCCACTTGTGTATAAGAAATTGTTGTTTTACAGGCAAAACAGACTTTATTGTCCTGCATGCAGTAAGAGCTATAACGAGGATATCTCGCCATTGAAAGAGTCCATACAAGGTCATGAGCTGCACAGTAATGTGGACCATCATGGACCACATGACAGAGGCTAGACTAGCCTAAGAGTGCCCAATGGTATTGACACATGATCATATTGCCCAATGACATCTCTCTAGTTTCCTTGTCACCAACTGACACACTGAGACAGACTCTCAGGGGGCAGTAGACAGTAAACATTCCTGCTTTAAAGATTTAAAAAGGATTTCCCAGGATTGGCCAATGGCAGCAATCCAGGTTCATAGCCCCTCCAAAACAGACACCTGAGCCATGATGACATGTATTCTGGCATGACACAGTGGCCCAGAAGAAACCATGCTCCCAGGAAGGAAACTGAGAAACAGTATAGGTCTAGATGTTGGTGTCCCATGTCCAAGCATCTTGCCTGAGAGCACGGATGTGAATCTTGGAGGAAGAAAACACTACTGAGAAGCTGTGTGACTTGCAGACAATCTAAGGAAAGAAAGATAAAGAAAAAACTGGCTTAGAGATAAGAGTTGTACATTCAATGATCATGATTGTCCCAGAATACTTGGGTGCCAGAAAGCCAGCATAGGGCTACAGCAAAAAACAGCAGAGCCAGGAGAAGTTCAAAGTGTTTTCCATATGTGCTGCTCATTGAGTTTCTGTGACAGACCAGAGGGCATGAGAAAGACTCATCTGTCAGAGGCTGGCATGCCAGGCCAGCAAAGCTGCCATGGACGAGGCTGCCTGGCCCACATTCTCAGATCTGACTGCCGATGCCCACCAAGGAAGAAGGGAAGAAGAAGCACTGTCCTACCCCATGAGCAGGGATGACGAGAGGCACTGGTCCCCAGTGTACTGAGCAAAGTTCGCTACAACAGGGGGAAAAGGAAGTATACAGACCATACCTCCCCCATTCCCAAATGGGTATGTGTTCGGGGGTGCCAAAAGAGCCCTTGAATTGGCTGGAACTGGCCTTTCTTGAGAAACCAAAGAATTAAAAATTAGTTTTCTTGGATGTTGGTTCAAAGTTTAAAGCACAAGCCTGAACAAAGGCCAGACAGGTGGAGACATGTCCAGCCACCTGAGGAGAACAAGCCTTACTGCATTCTTCTCCTTCCCACTAGAAATACAGTTGCTAGGAAACCACCCCTCTCCCCTAGGACAGCCAAACAAGGTAAGCCAGACCATTAATGGTTTGGGGGCCTTCCTATAGCCAATCAATTCAAAATGAAACATCCCCTTTTGTGTTTCAACCAATAGATGCTTGCCAGGCAGGAATTCCCCTGCCTTGGGTGCTCTAGGAGGAACCGGAATCTTTAAATCAACCACCTAACCTGAGCATAAGGCTCTTTGCTCTCAACTGCTCTGGCAATGAGGGTGTATGAGCGGAGCTATAGTTTCTAGTAAAAAGATCCTCATGTGTTTTGCAACCGACTCAACTCCTGGTGGTCTTTTGGGGGTCTCACAAATCTGGCATGACATTCTTACCTTTCTCCATGCATAGTACCTCTCAGCTTTGATGAGCATGTCCACGATGAGGCTGTGGTGGCTCCTGGCAGCCAGTGCCAGGGCAGTCTTTCCTTGCTAAATTAAAAAGAGGGATTAAAAAGGAAAAGCGATATTGCCTGGTAGACGAGAACTTCGGCTTTGCAAAGTAGCTGAACTCAGGTTCTGATTCTGCCACCTGTGAATGACGTAGGTACAAGCCCTTAGTCACTGCGGGTTTCTGCAATGACACTCAGGGGTCAAGGTGAGCAGTAGATGTGATGAAAATGCCCTTAGGATGTGTGCCACCTCTAACATTTCCCAGATTCCTTGTGGTCAGGGATGTGATCTGCATTTTGGCCAATGGTATAAATGCAGAGGCACATTCCTTGCCCAGGAAAGATCTTCAAAGAGAGAAAAGGTGACATTCTCCTTTCAGTCCTCCACTTCCCAAAGGAAATGCTGACAAACAGCAGGAATCTGAGCAGCCATTTTAGATCAGGAAATGTCAGCCTTGTTTTGAGGAGGACGAAATAATGGGCTGGATCCAAGAACAATTCATAGTGTAGGATCCAGCTCATGGGCTCCCAGCTAGAGGTTTTGTCTTTTATAAGACACTGCCTCTAACCAAGGTTAAAGTGTTCCAATTTTAACCAAATTGGATGAGTAAGAAAGGACTGATCTGGACATTACTTGGGACATATGCTGCCTGAATGTTGCATCTTACACAAATTATAATAAATGAACCCTGCCCATGATGGCTGTCTTACACAGCCAGAAGCACAGCTTTGCAAGCTGTGGCCCCTCAATTTTATGCTGGACACAATTTCTGTTTCTGCATCTGCACATGTTTTCCTGACAAAGGAGAATAGTTTGTATTCGGTTTCTTTTATTAAAGTATATATACATGTGTGTACCCATGTACATGTGTGTGCCGATGTACATATGTATGTCATAGATGTGTATTCATAGATGTGTATGTGGATGTGTAGTCATTCAGGAGCCAGAGGAAAACCTTGGTTAGGAACATACATTAGACTAGACCAGCTGGCCAGCAAGCCCCAGGGATGCTCCTGTTTCTACCTGGCCACATTGGGTTTTTAAGTACATGCTTTTTGTTTTTGTTTTTGTTTTTGTTTTTGAGACAGGGTTCCTCTGTGTGTAGCCCTAGCTGTCCCGGAATTTTATCTGTAGACCAGGCTAGCCTCAAACTCACAGATCTGCCCGACTCTGCCTACCATGTGCTGGGATTAAAGGTGTAGGCCACCACACCAGGCTTTTCTTTTCTTTTCTTTTCTCCCCCTCCCTCTCTTTTTCAGCACTGACATTTTTATATAGGTGCTAGGGATGAGACTCAGATCCTCATGCTTTCAAGATAGTCACTCTACCCATCAAGCTATCCCCCCATTGCATTTTAAATGATCCATGACAAATTCACTAGAGGATCCTAAAGATAATTAAAAGTAATGGTCAGAAATAACCCCACAAGACCTCTTGAAACTGAAAATCTTCGTAAGGCAAAGGACACTGTCAGTAGCACTAAAGGACAGTCTACCACTTGGGAAAACACCTTCAGTCCTACATCTGACAAAGGGCCATACCCGAAATATATAATGAACACAAGAAATCAAACACCAATAAACAAAATAACCCAATTAAAAAATGGGGCACAGAACTAAACAGAGAGTTCTCAACAGAGGAATCTTGAATAGCCAAGAAGCACTTAAAGAAATGCTCAGTGTCCTTAATCATCAGGGAAATGCAAATCAAAATGACTCTGAGATTGTATCTCACACAGGTCAAAATCTCAAGTGACAGCACATGCTGGCAAGGGTGTAGAGAAAGGGAAATACTCCTCCATTGCTGGTGGGAGTGTTAACGTGTACAACCACTTTGGAAATCAATCTGGTCCTTTTTCAGAAAATTGGGAATAGCGCTACCTCAACACCCAGCTATACCTCTTCTGGGAAATACCCAAAAGACACTTCACCACACAACAAGGACATTTGCTCAGCTTTTTTCATAACAGCTTTAGTCACAATAGCCAGAATCTGGAAACAACCTAGATGTCCCTCTACTGAAGAGGAGATTAAGAAACTGTGGTACATTTACACAGTGGAATACTACTCAGCTATTAAAAACAAGGTAATCATGAAATTTGCAGGCAAACAGGCAGACCTAGAAAAGCTCATCCTGAGTGAGATAACCCAGACTCAGAAAGACACACATGGTATGTACTCTCTTATAAGCATATTTTAGACATAGTACAAGATAAGCATATTACAATGCACAGACCCTAAGAAGATAGGTAGCAAAGAGGATCCAAAGGAGGATGCTTAAATCTCACTCAGAAGGGGAGATAGCAAAGTCAGAGGTAATGGCTGAAGAGAGGGAACAAGGTAAGAGATGGGGCACAGAGGATGAAGATCAGACCTGGGAGAGCAAGGGCGAGAGGACAGAGGCCTGTAGAGAAAATAGAGACTGAGGATGAGGTTATCTCTGTGACAAGCTGGAGACCTAAGTCAGGGAAGGCATCTGGGTGGCTATGTGGGGAACTCAAGCAAAAGCTCCTAGTAGCAGACTTCATAGAGACTGAAGAGGATACCATCAAACTAGACTAATATCCTAGTAGAGGGAGGGGAACATCAACCTACCCACAAAAACTTCAACCCCAAATTTACCCTGCTACAAGATGTGCAGGGATAAAGATAGAGCAGACAGAACAGAGACTGAGGGAATGCCCAACCAAAGACTCACCTTAATGGAGAGTGCCAACCCCTGACACTATGAAAGGTACTCTGTTAAGCTTGCAGACAGAAGCCTGACAGAGTTGTCCTCTGAGAGGCACTGCCCAGCAATGCCTCAAAGCAGATGCTGAGACTCAGCCAAACACTGGGCAAAGCATAGGGAATCTCGTGGAAAAGTAGGAGGAAAGAGAAAAGGACCTGGAGGTGACAGGAGAGACACAAGAAGACAAACAGAGCCAACTAACCAGGGCCCAGAGGGGCTTGCTGAGGCCGAAGCATCAATCAAGGACCATGCATGAACTGGATGGACCTAGGTCCCCTGCAAGGATGTAACAGATGGGCAGCTTAGGCCTCATGTGGGCCCTCTAGTGAGGGAAGTGGGGACTGCATTGGACAGGGACTCACTTGCCAGCTTTTTGATCACTTCCCCTGGCAGGACTGCCTTGCCAGGCCACAGGGGAAGAGGACATGCTTAGTCCTGATGCAACTTGATGAGCTGGGTTAGATGGGAAAGGGAGCTCCCTTTTTCTGAGGAGAAAGGTGGAGGGAAGGAGATGGGGGGGAGGGAGGGAGGGAGGAAGGGTGAGACTAGGAAGGGAGGAGGGCTGGGGCTACAACAAGGATGTAATGTAAATTTTAAAAAAATGCTGGAAACCTGCATCTCCAACCCCAAAGGTCGGGGGCTTCTCTCAGAACTCTTACATGTCTGGCTGGCAGCATCGAGTATAATTTACACCAACACCAGTGATAAGCTTTTCTAGTGCGGGCGGGCGCTAAGACCCAGGTGAGCTGGGAAACTAGGGCTGAAAGTAATCAGCCTGGAAGCAGGAGAGCTGGTAATGAAATTAGGAAGAATTGCATTTTGCAGGCATTTAGCAAGCCTCTAATTGCATACTGTCTGCATTCTGCCTTGTAAAGCCATTTGAATCACCATAATTAGCCTATTTTGGGAAGGCAGCATTCTAAAAGTCAGAGTTTTCAAGCTGGAGAAACTTCCCTTAAGGAACAACACACTGGAGTGGAGACACCATGTGCTCAACAGTGAGGCCAAAGGCCTCGGGACCCTCAAGGTAGACTTCATCAAGCCTCTGGCTCCTTCTTCAGTCTCAGTCTCTCTCCCCCTCTCCCTTTCTCTCTCTTTCCCTCCCTCCCTCCCCCTCTCAATCCTCTCTCTCTCTCTCTCTCTCTCTTTCTCTCTTTTCCCCCAGCATCACCATGCAAGCCTGGGTGACCTGAAACTCTGAAATTTGTTAGGTAGAGCAGGCTGGCTACAAACTCCTGGAGAGCCACCTGCCTTATTCCAGAGTGCTGAGATCAAAGGCGTGTGACATCATACCCAGCTACTAATCCAGACCTTAACAGGGTCTGAGAAACACTTACCTATGGGGTTTGGTTTGGTTTTGTTTGTTTGTTTGTTTTCTTTAAGAGCATGTGGGAGCAGGTAAAAAGAAAGGGTTTTGCATTAGTTATGTATGTTCTGGGTGCCAGCCATGGGCTAGACTCTCAGAATAAAGGATCAAGGGAGAAGGAAGAACAAGAATGGGGAGACTACATCCTGAGGATTTGGTTTAAAAAAAGCAAAGTAAGGTGGTAGTGTTGACCCTGACAACTGGAAAAGCCAGTCCAGTACCCCACAAGAATTCCTACAGAGTCGACCCACCAAACTGCCTTGGAGGAGTGAAGTATGAATGAAAACACAGAATAAGTTACTCTAAAAAGAATGCATGGGGAAAGACCCAGGCTGGATGTTAATGAACTCAGCCAGCCACATCTGGGGACAAAGTGGCATTCCACCCAAGTCTAAGCCCTAGGGTAGGTGGTCATGTTTTCCTACACATTTCTGGTTACCACATTGTCCAGAGCTTGTGTTACTTTTATGGTTAAAAGAAAAAAAAAAAGGACAGAGAAAAGTGAAACAACACCATGACCTCACACAAGTGGAACTCGCGATTCTGAACTAGAGAACACGGTGAACCGGGAAGGTAGAAACCAGAAAAGCAGCAGGTTTGAGGTTGGGGCCATACCTCAGAGGTGGATCAGCTGCCTAACAAGGGCAAGGCCCTGGAATCTGTGCCCAGAACTGAAACGGGCATATTGTGTTTTACAAATTCTCCCTGGTGCTCTGGGCTGTGAAAAGGAATTGGTGTGCAGGTGTTACTACTTTAGCAGCACTCTCTGTTGACAGTCTGTTTGTTCTGAACCAACTCTCACCCAGCCCAGACGCCCCTGGAGGAGGACCAGGAGAAACCAGCTTGATTCAGTGTTTTAAGAAGTGCCTGAGCTCACACATCCGTGGAGTGATGGAAGAGCACAGGCATTCAAGAAGCACAGACATCTCATGCTTGACACCATGGCTGACACCTGAGCAGAGTGTCAAGGCTGAACTACACACACACACATTCAAACACATGCGAACACATATCACACACACACACATTTAAGAGATAGGAAAAAGGAATAAAGATAAAATATGCTTTAAATATGCAAGCAACCAAGTTATTATATGCATACACATGGTATAATAGTATGAAAATCAAATAAGCCAGAGGCAAGTCTAGATGGGAAATTATTTTTATAAACCTTCACATATAAACATTATGCTTGACCATCTATACTTATAATCTCAAAAAAATCACTAAATTATTTACATTCTAAAGACCAATATTTAGGGCTGGAGAGGTGGCTCAGAGGTTAAGAGCACTGGCTGCTCTTCCAGAGGTCCTGAGTTCAATTCCCAGCAACCACATGGTGGCTCACAACCATCTGTAATGAGATCTGGTTCCTATTTCTGACGTGCAGGTGAACAAGCAGACAGAACATTGTGTACATAACAAATAAATAAATCTTAAAGAAAAAAGACCAATATTTAATAGCAACTCCTTTTTAACATTTCTGAGTGTTTTTCAGTTTTTCTTTTTTGAGTGATTTATTTAAATATATAGATATATAGAGAGAGGCATATATAGATAGATTTATATACAGATATATAGATACTATATATATGTATCTATATATATATATAATGTAGATAGATAGATAGATAGATAGATAGATAGATAGATAGATAGATACATACATACATACATACATACATACATACATACATACATACATGACCTGGGTGTTTTCCTGCTTATGAAGATGCTCAGCTCATGCTCAACAATCAGAAGAAATTCTGGCCTATTCACATGGCAGCCAATAGCGAGTCTCCACTGCTGTCTCAGAAAACCGTGAAGTCAGAGCACCTACCTTGTCAGTGATTTTGAGGTTGCAGCCAGCCTTCAGCAGTATCTCCACCAGCTCCACGTTTCCAAGATCAGCAGCTACATGCAGAGGGGTCTGCTGCCTCTGCCATGGAAGCACATGCGGGAGAGAGTGCCGTACGGGTTGGGGGATGGGGGCTAAAAACAAATGTCCTCATGTGGGCCAGGGGACAGTTGGTGCGGCAGCATTTAACATATGGAGAGATGAGAGGAAGCCACAGCAGTTAGGTCCAGACACCCAGGGGTGAGCTCAAGCTGGCTCTAGAAGAGTCGCTAGAGGCTAGATAAAATCCAGGCACCTGTGAGACAGCTTCCCACCTGCCAGAAGGGGTCACTCCTCTCATCTCTGGAGGAGTTGGTGCTGGCCTCCAGGCTCTCTCAGTGTGCAAGTGTCTGTTACACACCTCCTGGTCCTCCCACTCCACACCCCCTCTTCTTCCCCAGCTACTTGTCACCCTTATAGCCCACATGATTTGCACCCCCTCGCCCACACCCCCTACTATCCTCCCTGCTATCCTCCCTACCTCGCACTTTGTCCTCGCTGCCTCACTATGCTCTAGTCTTCATTTCTTGCTATTCTCCGCTCTCTGGCTACCCACTATTTCCCCTCACTATGCTTTTTCACACATAGCCCTGGCCATGTCCAGTCTGCTTTCTTTTCTCTCTGCTCTGGACTCTTCCATAAGCCTCGGGGTGTTCTCTCTCTCTCTCTTACTCACAATAGAAAACCTTCCCCCTGATAGTGGAGTGGTCACATCAGCAGTTTCTTTACTGCGCGCTCCTTATATAGTTAGTTACATATTTGGTAACGAGACATTATATAAACCATATGTAAATATACAGGAATACTTGGCTTCCATTAACCAACTTCAGAGCTAGGTGTGGTCATGGACCTGTAGTTCCAGCTGCTTGGGAAGCTCTTACAGGGGGACTTCTGGAGCCTAGGGATTTGAGGCCATCTGAGAAGTGTAATGAGATCTTGTCTCAAAATGTTTTCGGTGCAAGTTACCTTGAGTATTCAAATTTATAAAGACAGGAAGGATGGCAGTTCCCAGGGGCTGGGGAGTGGGGAATGGAAAGTCTGTGGCGTCACAGAGCTGTACACTTAAAAATAGCTTAAATGGTAAACAATGTTATTATTTACCATAATAAAATGGCTTTAAAGATTTCTATAAGGAGAAACTATAACATAATAGTAAAAGTTTTAGGAGGGGGCTGGAGAGATGGCTTGTGTTTAAGAGCACTAGCTAATCTTTCAAAGGATCCTGGTTCAATTCCCAACACCCACATGGCAGCTCACAACTGTAACTCCAGTTCTAGGAAATCCAACACCCTCACACAAACATACATGCTGGAAAAAAAAAAACAAACAAAACAAACAAAAACAAAAAAACAATGCACATAAAATAAAAATAAAAGCTTTAGGAGACAAAGGCTTTCTGTCTGGCTAAGCCTACTTTATAAATGTGCTGAGAAAAAGAAAGAAATACATTGACAATATTAGAAGTGGTAATATTAAAGATGGGGAGACTAAAGCTGATTTTATTGTCTTCTTGATGCTTCCCCCATTCTCTACATATTGTGTATTAAGAAATGAAAGACTTCAAATTCCTCAATAGACAGACAGGAGCCTTGGATAGGATCTAGACCAGGCAGAGAAAGCTACTTCCCTGGTCAAGTGCTGCGCAATAGCTTGAGACTCCAGGTCTCCTCCTACCAAAAAAGGCAAAGCCAAGTTGCTAGGTTGTTAACGAAAGCGTCTAGAAAAGGCCGCCAGCAGGTGGCAGTCTGCCTCTCTGGCAGCTCACTTCCAACAAACCGTCAAAGTGCTGGCTATACTACGCTAAGACCAGAACACAGGAAACACCACAACAAAAGCTACCTTTCTTCAGTGGAGCCGAAAGAACATTTGCTTCTTTGAGCCATATTTATATCTCCTGATTTTATATGCGAAAAGTTTAAAATCTGTTATTTTGTGCGTCTATTACTTAAGTAACAAAAGTTTGAACTGATACGGTCTGGTTGTGTAACTGATTGGCAGGCTTGACAAACACCCCTCCCCTAGAGTGGATCAAGCCGGTTCTAGAGAAGCCAAAGTGTGAACACAAGGCTTTTTCTCTGTAGAAAAGATTTGCAACATTAGCAAGTTTGAATATGCAAATACATTTAATAACCAAGGAGTTCTGCTCCCAAATTGTGGACTAATGCGACATAGAAGAGGGGGGCCTCCAGAGTGGGGAGGGGAATGGGACAGAGTGCAGGTACGGCTCCTTGCTCGGGTCAAAAATTAACCAGGAGGCCAGGGCAGAAGGAAGCCTGAAGGGATGTGTCAAGCTGACCAACAGGTGAGGAAATGGGCTTGGGAAGGTTGCTTCCTCCTAACCTAGAGGACCTGCGGGGGGAGGGGCGGGAGGTTGGCTGGGAAAGAGGCGGGGTGCGTGGCTTCCACCCCCACCACCTCCAGGCCTGCCACACCCCCACCACCTCCAGGCTTGCCACTGCGGGCGCCCTGGAAGGGCGGATGGCAGAGGCCGCGGCAGACACACCGGCCCACCGCTTGCTGCTCCATCCCCGTCCATCTCCAGCTGGTGACAGGTGGCGTTTATGGACTCTGATTCTGTTCGGGTTCACTGACTACCTGGTGATCTTTTCATTAGTTTGTTCTTAGTTCTAAGCAGTCTCGTTTGCCTTCTGGCATAGGAACATACCTAATGTGGAAACAAAGCTTCCTTCTTATGGGGACCAGCTTCAGACTAAGGACATTTCACAAAAGGCGAGGCTTTTGATTTAAAGAGCTCTTGGCAATTTGCTTTGGCATTGTTTATCAAAAGCCCTAACGGTGCCTGTTTAAAGTGAACAACTTGATTACATACTCACAGAATCCCAGTTTTGCCTCTGCGAAAGCAGAGGCGTGGGGACAGCTGAGAGGTTACGCACGAGGTTACGCACAGGTCCTCCTCCCTGCCCAGAATTTTTCTAGGCACCTGGAACCTAAGCAGAGCTCCCTCTGACACGCTGTGTTGAAACCTGGAAATTCCGTGTGGAAACAAACGAGGACAGAGTCCAGGCTTCAGCCTGCTTACCTGATCTAGGGCATCAACGTCATGCCGAGCACTCAGCAAGCTGGTCACGACTGGGGGGTGGTTGTTGGTGACCGCTAAGTGAAGCGCTGACTCAGCGGGCTGCAGGAGAGCGGAGTCACAAACTCAACAAGCATGGAGCTTCAGCACTCAAACCCCGAAACAGTTGGTTTCAGTCATGGTTTTCCGATGATCTCTGGGAATTAAGGTAGCCCACCCCAGTGTGGGGCCCACAGGAAGGCTTGTGCAATCACCACCACCTCCAGGCTGTGGTCATTCTGAGCACGTGTAACAGCACCTGCTATGGGCCCGTCTCTTCAGTTGCTAGAGATTTATCTTTTTAGTGAGGTCACACAGCTGTTTAATTTCAAAGCATAAGTGAGTTAGAGGAAACGTCAAATGTGCTGGGGTGGCATGTGAGTCAAGGGGGGGCTGGCCCTTCTGGAAGCTAGAAGATGCTTCCTTGAAGAAATGACAGCTGAGCTCAGACATGAATAAGGAAGTATTGAGAAGGCTCAACTGAGACTTCAGAAAGCCAGAGGACAAAGGGAGTGGCCTCAAAGGAGGAAGTGTACACACAGCATTTCCTGACCAGATGTGAGCTCTGCTCAGGCTCTTGCTCCCTGGTGGGCTGCTGTCCCTGGCTACTCAGGCCTCAGGGCTCCTCTGACAGTCCACCCAGTCTCAGCCGCCTGCCCTTTCATTCTCTCCTTTTACCAAACAACCCATTGTCTTCCCTCGCCCACCTGGCCCTCCTAAGCCCTCTCCCCCTCCCTCCCATTCCTCTCTTAGTCCACCACCATATACTGTCTCAAACGCGCCCTCCCAGGGGCGCGCAGACAGAGGTGGGAGCACTGGCCTGAGATGCGGTGCGGTGCTGCAGCTCAGCGGTGCTAGCGGAATTATGAGGAACAGGGTGGAGAAGCTAGACACAGAGGTTAGGATAGCCCGCCGCTTCACCCACGCGTAGAGACAGTGTCGGTACATCCTCACACCGCACTTACTCCATGCTCAATCCCCACATTGTTTATCCCGTTTCAAACACTAGGTTAAGTGCTGGGCTGTGGTGGCACAAACCTTTAATCCCAGCACTTCAAATCTCTGAGCTCCAGGCCAGCCAAGGCCACACAGAAAAACCTTATCTTGGAAAACCAAAACTAAACAAACACTCGGTTAAGCAGATGTGAAGCAGCACACCGGCCTACTCACAGACAGGGATGGGAATTTCGAGTGTCAGGCCAGTCTAGGCTCCATAGGAAGCTGCAGCCTCGCTGAAGCAACACAATGAGACCCTGGCTCAAAAACATGCAGGGAAACAACTCTAGGCCAAACAACTGCTCTTAAAAGCCGTGTCATCCACGATAAACCTAGGAGTTGGATCCTGTATTCCCTACTTTACACACAAACAGATCAGCAGCTCCACAATAACAAGGAAGAGGCAAAGACAGGACCTGAGCACAGACCTTCCCGAGTTCCCTGTCTACACACTGGACTACAGATGAGGAACGGTCATGCTGTATTGTGTGGCTGAGTGAGAGGCTGTCTGGGATGAGCCAGGGGGCAAAGCAGCACTGGAGCATCCATGAAGTAACCTGAGAGGTCTCCATGGAAGCACAAAGCAAGAACAAAGAGACAGCATCCGTTCTCTCAAAAAAGCAGTTGTTGTTGTGGTGGCCAGGGCCACCCTCCCTACTGCCCCGACCCCTCCCTGCTTCTCTGGAGAGGAAGCCTGACCTAGGTAAGCACAGAGCCAACCCCTCGAACTCCACACTCTAAAAACTTAAGTGGTTCAGTCACATCCCTCCTCTCAAGTCAGTACTGTAAATAGAAACAGCTTGCCACAGCCAGAGGAAATACTCACAGGAGAGAGGAAAATACAGTAGGAGACAGAGGATTCTTGTCAGATTCCAGCACAGAGGGCCTACCTCTGGGTGTTCTGCCAAAGCCAATCCAAACTTCAGAAAAACCTCCATCACTAATAGAGGATTGACTTTGGGAAAAAAAAACCCACAAGATCATTTGGAGGCGGGGGGACAATCCATATTCTTAACATCCTCAGCAGCCCCAGCAGTGGCTGCAGTGGCATTTCCCAGGCTGATGAGATCTGTACCGAACCAAGGCAACTCTAGACACCTGAGCCGTAGTCAATATGACTATTTTAAAACAAAGACTTTGTTTTGTGCAAGAACTTCAGTGACTTTCTAAAATGCATGCCTTGGATTTTATTTCTCATGATTAAGATTTAAAAAAAAAGAAGGAAAAAAAAAGCCAATGTTCCCACCAAAAGAATCCCTTCTCATCCCCAGTATGTATCTGCCCGGGGCATTTGCACAGCCAGCTTTGAGTCCCCACCACCCAAGCGCGTGTGACTGGACTCACTTCCTTCTCCTGCCGCAAACCAGCATTCTCAGAGAGAAGAAAGTTGACAAGGGATGTATGGCCATTCCGGGTTGCCATCTGCAAAGCGCTGACATTGAGCTGCAAGGAATGGATTGAGAGAGGATGGGGGAGTCCAATTACTTTCTGCATGTGGTCTGCAGCTGAGTATATGGTAATTAATGTATACAATGAAATAGTACAACTAAAGAAGGAAATCCTGTTAATGCTCTGGTTTCCAATATCCAGCTATGAGAAATAAATGCTTGCTGCTTGAGTCACCAGTTGTTTATTATTATTATTATTATTATTATTATTATTATTATTATTATTACAGCAGCCTGACCTAAGACACTGAGACACTCAGCACATGTGAGTGAAATCTCTGCTTCCAGAATCAAGCTAACCACTGTGGTACCCAGCAAAGCCTTTCCTTGGGTTAAAATAGGTGACTGTCATTGGCCCCAGAGAACAAGCTCCTTGCTTCCTGGCTCCCTGCCTTTGTTGCCAGCGCTGCTCTTCTTTGCCAGGAATGGCTTCAGAGCTTAGCAGGAGTTTCCACCTATGTGAAGTGTCGCTTTTCAGCCCCTTCACAGCTCTCACTGCCTCTTGCCGCACTCTCCAGTGCCTCAAGTATCTTCACTTAGCTCCCAAGCTAATTGCTACTCAGCTCAAAATTGTGACCTGCTCTCGGTTAACCTCCACTGAGCCTCCAAGCAGCCCAGAGTGAGAACTGACAGCAAGGTGAGCTGATGAATTAGTTATGGTTGATTATAAGACTGCCATAAAACAGATTCAGGTCCTCCATACAAGGACATTACAGAAAACTGCTTTCCCAAGGCGGCTGTGTTGGTATCCACTGACCTACTTGTCTCTTCTCTACCAACAGCTAGGATTTATTCCTTTACTCCCTTGAAGGTAGGTGGACCTGCAACTGCTTTGACCAGTGGATAAGGCAGAAGTGATAAGGAGTCAGTTCCAGGCAGGGCCCCTAACTAGCCCAGCCATTTCCACTCCCTTCCTTCTGTGCTGCTCATTCTTGCAGCACTTCCTCTTAGGGCCAGCTGCCAAGCTATCCAAGAGTGACCCTGCCACAGAAGCCAGTTGTTGGTGCTCTAGCTGACCTCCCAGATGACAGGTGGCAACATCTTCCAGGCAAGTGCATGGACCATCTTGGACATTTAGTTCAAATAAAACATTACATGCCCCAAACCCTGGTCAGCCTCTGACTATAACCATGTAGGCAGAAGCCAAGTAGGATTATCACTGATGAGCCCCATTGACCCACTGTGAAAGTTTTCAGACTCAAAATAGACTTCTTTTTTATTAGACCAAATCAATGAATAAATAATACCAGAAGGTTATAAAAGAGGGATCTGGTGTACACATGCCTAGTGATGAGAGCTGTCCTGATTACTTTCTTTGGTGGTGACAAATCACTATTACCAAGGCAACCTGTAGAAGAAGAAAGAGTTCATTGGCTTACACTTTCAGAAGGTGAGTCCATGACCTTCACATCAGGGAGCATGGCAGGCAGGCAGGCATGGCGCTGAGGCGGGAGCTGAGAGCTTACATGTTGAGACAGCAACCGTGCAACCATGAGGCAGAGAAGAACTAACTGGGAATGTTATATGGGCTTTGAAACTTCAGTGACGCACCACCCACAACAAGGTCACCACCTCCTAACCCTTCCCAAACAGTTCCAGCAGCTAAAGACTAAATATTCAAACATATGAACCTAGGGGGCCATTGTCGTTCAAACTACCACAGGAACTATTTACAAAAGACTTCCAGGACCACGCTCTTGCACAAAAGAAACTGAGAGTGCAGGAGGGAATATTCCTGAAGGCTGGGGAGATGGCTCAGCACGTGAAAGCATGTGCGGCTCTTGTGAGGACTTCATGTTGGTTCCCAGAGCCCATGCAGGGTTCTCAACCACCAGTAACTCCAGCTTCGCAGACCTGACATCCTCTTTTGGCATCCTTGCACAATTGCACTCACGTGCACATACCTTGTCAAACGTGCACACAGACCTATGCATACAAAAGTTAAAATAAATCTTAAAAAAATATTACTCCTGCAAGGACAGCTGCCCAGCAACTTCCTATCACGGACCTAAGACTCTTGCTATTGATCCAGAGATCCAGAGATCAACTTTTATTTCAAACATCTTAAGTAATCCTCCTCAATTTTGACCTTAAGGGTGTCCCTTGGCCACAATGTCCTTGAACAAAATTATGGGTTACACATACAACCTGCTGCATCATTGCACCGTCCATAAACTTAATCCTTGGACGCCCGTTTGTGTGTTGAGATTGACACACCATGAGAGATAATACCACACTGGTGTTTTAAGCCACAGAGATTTGCTTGTTGTTGAGAGGCAGTAGACAGTGGCCAACTGAAAGCCAGCTTGACCTGGTGCTAAAGGCTGGTGCAACATGGCTTAGCAGGCTCACAAGTACAAGCCTTTTTGCCTCCATCTGTAAAAACAGTATAACCACCTGTATTTGTTTTCTTTACTGTTACAGGTTGCTGCCACAAACTAATAATAATAATACAAGTATCATCATCATGTAGTTCTAGATGTCAAGAAGTCTGATGTGGGTCTCATTGAGCCAAGTTCCATTCTAGAGGCTGCTGAGAAAACTGGTTTTCAGATGCCTAGACACATTGGCTTATGGCCCCTCTTCAAAATTCAGTGGTATTCAGTTGGGTCTTGTCTGCTTCCCTCTTCACTTTAGCAGACTCCTGTGATCACATAACCTATGATAATCCATATGAAGATGAGCGGATTTTGCCATATAACTACGTATGGTTTTACTGGACTAAGATATGGGTGTCTCTGGGCATAAGGGGAGCCTCAATCTTCCTGCAATACCCTCCTACCTCTTTCTTTTAAGCCACAGTGATGCCAGAGAAATAAATGTCATTTTCTTCATTCTACAAACATGTCATATGTGACAAACTGTGTCGGGGATACGTTTGTAAGCATATCTATTAGGTGCCTGATATTATATTCCAGTAGGGGAGACAATGAGTTGATCCATGGCTTGATGGACTGGTAAGATTGGTGTATCCATAGCTTTAGAGTAAAATCTAATTGATGGGTTCTAGATGCTATTAGAAGGATAATACTGGCTGGTTGTTGTCAGCTACAAAGTGAACTAAAACAGCTGACTGGAGCCAGGCGTGGTATTATGCACTTTTAATCCTGGCACTCAGGAAGCAGAAGCAGGCTGATCTCTGTCAGTTTGAGGCCAGCCCTGTCTACAGAATGAGTTCCAGGACAGCCAGGGCTACACAGAGAAACCCTGTCTTGAGAACACACTCCTCCACACACCAAAAAAAAAAAAAAAAAAAAAAAAAGAGAGAGAGAGACAGAGATGACTAGATAGACAACTATTTTATACTGAATGACCAAGAATGTGTTTTGGGTAAGGTGACATTTAGACTGGGAAGATCTGAGGGCTCCTAAATCAAAAAGTAAAGTCTGAAGAACTCAAAGCCAGCATCCTACAGTAGAAGCTGTGGGGCTATGTAGCCTTCTACCCAGCCCCAATGTACATGGCCTATAAAGAAACATGTATAACTTATTTTGTACATATGGTGTTTTGTAGGCATGTATGACTGTGCACTATATTCCTGCGTGGTCCCCAACCAGAGCAGGGTGTCAGATCTCCTGGAACTATAGTTACAGACAGTTATAAGCCACTAAGTGGGTTCTGGGAATTGAACCCCAGTCCTCTAGAAGAGCAGCCAGTGTTCTTAACTGCTAAGCCATCCCTGCAGACCCAGAAGTATGTGAAACTTAAGAAAAAAATAATAATTACTAGCTCCAAGATACCAAAAGAAAGCCTCAAAAGTGAAGTGGATAAATATTTAATTGACACATTTCTACTTCATTGATTGTTAAATGTAATATCATAAAATATTCATTACATTTGTAAATGACTTGGAGTTTTCGTTTTTTTAACCTCCTGAAAATTCCCAAGTAAATACACAGTGTTCTAAGAAATCAATCATGTATAAATTAGATGACGTTCACTGCAGCCAAATAATTATAAAAATAAAACATTCGCTTAGAGTAGTTGGGCCAGTCAGGGCAGCCGGGGCCGCTGTTAGAGGGTTATATAGACTAGAAGTGTAGGGTATTTAAATAGGTTGGATGAGATATGACGTAAGGCTTCCAGAAGCCTCAGGTTTTAGGGTCTACAGATGTCACCCTGGGGCCCGTGGCAGCTGATTCCATGCTGAAGAGAGCCTGTCGCCCACACTGGGCTGACTCTACATGTAGCACAAATGGAGGAAGTCTGCTTACAACTAAAGCTGTGCTCTTACTCCAGTTACCTCCTCAGAAATGACTCAGCTGTGTACTCTCCCTCCTTAGTGACAGGGAGGCACAAGAGAGCACAAAAGCCATCTCCCAGAAGTTGGTATCAGCAGTCCCTTGAGATGCAAAAGCAAAATGAAGTCCAAAGCACCTTTGGTCATGTGAGCTGCTGCAGCTAGCTTCCTCCTCCTCCCTGCTTATTTCCTGGGAGTCTTCTCCAGTATTAATGGGAACAGCTCTAGACTATGACAGGTGCTAGAATTTTTTATCTAGGGACTGTGCTAATGAACAGCAGCAAAAACCTCTAGTTTTCATTACTATCACAAAGTACGCGAGGTAAGCTAATTTATAAGGAACTGAGGTTTATTCTGCTCAGTTGTTGCAAAAGGAGGTCAAATCTCATAGAGTGGGCTCTGGAAGGGGACCACCGGCTGCGCCGTATCACAACGCCTTGGTGGTGTGCACCTCCACCCGCATGCTGCTCCCTCTCATAATCTTTCCGGGCTACGAGCTGCTGCCAACCATGGGCTCCACCCTAGTGATCAGGCTCCACCCTGATCACTTCCCAAAGGATGCACTCTAAATACTTCGGTCGCACTACTTCTCTGCCCTTGCTACCACTTTGGAGATTAAACTCTTGGGTGGTTTTGGAGAAACAAACCTACCCAGGCAACAGCTCTGGGACGAGCTGGACATGGATTTCTGGCAACTTCCACCAGCTGAGGCTATTACAGAAAGAACGTGGCTGCTGTCCTAGCCGGGAGAATGTGAACTTGCACATGAAAAAAAAAATCACTGCAAAGCCAAATCCTGGGGAAGCAGAGTAAACTGTGGAGGATCAGGCCAAGGAGTGAGCCCCAGGGAGTGCTAACCAGGAAAGCCATCCCAAGGGCAGCCTGGACTCTTTCTTTTTTTTTTTTTAAAGGATTTCTATAGGTGTGTGTGTGTGTGTCTGCATGCGGGTGTCTGTGGAGGCAGGAGTTACGGGTGGTTGTAACGTGCCTGATGTGCGAACTAGGGTTCTCTGGAAGAACAGCCAGCGCTCTTAACGCCTGAGCCACCTCTGAAGCAGCTGACATATTCTGAAGTCTTATCATTTGTATGTTTGTTGTATCAGTAACCTTGTAGTATCATTAAGAAGTAACTCACATTTTCTTATTTATATTCTCTCTGAAGATACTTGTCGATGTCTATGTAAATTTGACTATATTAACATTTATCACATTACTGTTAATCAGCATTCTATGATAGACAGTTTATATGTTGTAATGTATTATAGTATTTTTATTATAATTTCTTAATTTTTATTTTATTCTATGTGTACGAGTGTTTTGCCAACATGTAGGTCTGGATATTATTATTTTTAATAGCAGCATATTTTTCCAGCTGATGAATTTACCAGATCCCTATCTAGCCACCTCCTGCTGGTCATTGCACCTACAGGTTGTATGACTTCTCTGGCTATTTATAGTAACATCATCATCTATGTCAAGGAAGGGCCTAGATTTTTTCCCTTCCTTATAATTTCCCATATGTGATAAAAAAAAAAAAAAAAGAGAGGCACGAACTGTGTTTCAGAAGGATCTGTTCATGTCAGCAGTGTACAAGGCTAGAACACGTTACCGTTTGGGGCATTGTACCTTTGTGAAGAGACTGGTTACACATTGTGCTAGTACAAAGGTTAAAATAAAAGCAACAGCAGCATGAACTATACAGTATGCTACTGTGCAGACGAATGTTCAAGCCAGTCACACTTTCTGGATGCATGAAAAGGCTGTGAGCTGCTAAGTAAATGTCAGAGACCTTTGTTCCGAGGGGCAGAACTGAAGTGTAGAGGTGGAACAAGACACTTTTTATCAGCTACTCTTTTAGGGAGCATTTGAATTTTTGTTTGTTTGTTTGTTGTTTGGTTTTTCCAGACAGGGTTTCTCTGTGTAGCTTTGGCTGTCCTGGACTCTCTTTGTAGACCAGGCTGGCCTCAAAATCAGAGATGCACCTGCCTCTGCCTCCCTGAGTGCTGGGACTACAGGCGTGCATGATAAATTATTTTCATTGTATTGTAATTTAATATTAATCAGAATAAAACATGCTGACCCATCTGAAGACACAGCCACCAGCATGAGTTTGAATCTTTGCATTGTCATTGTGGTATGGTCCTGGATTAGCTTCTTGCTCTTTCTAGGTTATAGTTTCTTAATATAAAAGAAGAAGTAGTAGAAGAAGAAGAACAACAACAACAACAACAACAAGGTGCAGCTGGTAATGTGGGTTTGGTGGTTTGAATAAGAATGGCCCCCACAGGCCCATATATCTGAGTGTTTGGTCCTCAGCTGACGGGCTGTTTAGGAAGGAATAGTGTAGCCTTACTAGAGCAGATGGGTCTTGTGGGAGGAGGCATGTCTCTGGAGGTGGGCTCTGAGGTTTCAAAAGTCATGTTCTTACTCTCTGCTGCCCGTGGATGGGAATGTGAGCTGCCGCTCCAGCATCCTGTCTGCCTGCTGCCATGCTCTCCACCATCATGGTCATGGACTCACTCTCTGAAACTGTAAGCAAGCCCCCAATTAATTGCTTTATTTTATAAACTGCCTTGTTCATGGTTTCTTTTCACAGCAACAGGACAGTAACTTAGACATTAGTCTTTAAAGTTTCAAATCTGCTAGCACCATGATTAAATACAAAGTATTTTATATTGTGAGCCAGACAGCATCCTGCATTCTTCAGGTCCAACATGACCCACAGCAAACTATTTTTGATTCTTTATTATTTATCATCAACGAGTGGATTAAGAATGCCTGTCATCTTGCTGGATCAGGTCCTTGCTCCTTGGGTCTCATGTTCAGTCATTCCCCAGATGAATTGCAAGAATGACATTGCTTTTGAAGAGCCATTAATGGAGATTATCTGTAGTGAGTTATTGATTTTTATGCAAAACAAGACATACTAAAATCTTAATTCTATAAAGACCCAGCAAATCAACAATTAAGGACCAGAGTTCCAAAGAACACTCTAAGCCCTTCTCCCTCTGTACAGATGACCACAGCCCAGATCTCATACTCTGTTTGGAATATTGACATCACTTCCTCCTGCCAGGAGCACTCGACTGCATTCTTCATGACCTCGTTCAACAGCCAGCATGAAGGGAGTCTCTCCATTCTGACAAAAAGAAAAGGAATTAGAATTAATTTCCCCTTGGCTAGGATAAAAATACTTTGAGAAACAGCATGTTTCTGATATCTTTTATGTGTGATTCTTTTTGTAGCTGTTAGCATTACCTGGCCTGTATGTACCAACAGATATTGCCAAGACCATACACTGATACAGTCAACTCACATGAAAATTCCAGAAGGGCAGGGTTCATGTTGTCCTCATTTTATGGACAAGAAAACCGAACAGCTGGTGACCAAACCTTTCATAATCTGCCTGTTGCAGCCTACTCAGCCCAGCTATCCTCATCCCTGTCCTCCTGACCAGGTCAGTCCCAGGACACACCATGTCTTTTACACACATGTGCACGGTACACACACACCCCAGAAAAACAAAAACCACCACCGCCACCAACAACAACAGCCAACTCTCTCCTTCAAAGCCCATTGGAGTGGCAAAACGAGATAACATATCCCCTCCTGTGTGAAGGCTTTGGTTTCTGAAATAGATTTTCATAGCACAGTGTATAGTTAGCTGTAATAGCATGTAGTCCAATACTGTATGATTTCCCCATGTCTTTCTTGTCCTATGATGTAAAACTACATACTTAATCTAAAAACAAATGACGTTTTCTTCTTCTTCTTCTTCTTTTTTTTTTTTTTGATTGAAAAGATGTTTTTATTCATGCAATGTATTCTGACTGAGAGGACCTGACTAACTTCATTTTGAGACTTGATTCAAAGCCAGGTGAAAATCCTTTCCCCTTTCCTGCTTGATGCTTCCTGAAAAAAAAAAAAAAAAAAAAAAAACCAAAACAAACCAAAAGTAAACAAAAAAATCCACAGGCAAAGGGTGGCCAATCATCACCTGCCCTGACATCTGGCCTGGGGCTATACGAAGCGACTGTTCCTTTCCTAGGGTCAGAACCAATCAGGAACATACAAGTACCCCCACTAAGAACCTATCCAATCCTGGTAAGGACTATAACTTCACCTGGAAATTCTAGCTGACTTTAAAGGGAGCCATCTTGTAAGGTGGCTGACCCGCACGCAGTATTCTCGCTATTGAGAAACAGAAACACTCTTGCCAATTGCCTCTGTGGGTGGTGGTCTCCACGCCACAATTTAGGACTTCGCACTGACCACAGGTTCTTGTCCCTCAACTCCTCCCAGATCTTTCCCATTTCCCAACTCACCTAACCCTTTCTTTCTCTGCCTCTCTTTTTTTAGAAAACAAACAGGCAGACAAAAAACAAAAAGCATAAAAAAAAATAAATAAACACACACATAAAACCCATAAAGCCACAGAATCCATGAAACCATAATATACAAAAACCAGTCAGACAAAAATAAAATATACAAACAAAACCATATGAGACAAAAAAAAATCTATAAAAATACAAAAATTGAGGTCATCTTGTGGCCATCTACTGCTGAGCCTATCCTCAAGTGTGGTTTGTATATCCAGAGAGCGCCCACCGGAGACAACTAGTTTTTCCTTTGCAAGGAGGTGTCAATTGGAGACCGTTCCTTAGAATTGGAAGGCTGCGTCCACTTCCCCTCTCAGTGCTGGGACCTCATCTGTGTTGAACCTGTGCAGGCCCTCCGTGGCCACGGTCTCTGTTGTGTCTGGAAGGCAGAGCTTGGGGATCATCCCTCTGCTCTTACAAATGGCTTTTGAGTAAATTAACAAATGCCCTGCTGGCGGGCACTTGAAAATATCAGTGTTTTATTTTATGCCAGTGGCTTGCCTTTGATTTCCTGTCCTTTTCTAGAAAGCACCTCCAGCCCTGACCTTTAAGTCCCTGAAATGCACAGGTCTGCATACCTCATTGGTCTTGTTTACTTCCGGCCACTGAGTTAACAGTACCTGCACCACTGGGCTGTGACCATGCATGGCAGCCAGATGCAGGGCGGTGTTTCCCTCCTGCAACAAAGATGCATTCCAGGTGAAAGTGTCGCTGCCGAGGAACCTGCCCTCACAGCACCGGTGGCTTCTGGGAGCCTTTTCTTTGGTTAAAGCTACAGTGCAGAAGCCAGGCATGGTGGTACAAGCCTAATCCTAGCACTTGGTGAGCCAGAGGTAGGCAGATCGCTGAGAGCTGGAGAGCAGCCTGGTCTACAGTGCAGAATATAGACATTATCCAGTTTTAACTAAGGTTTAACTAAGTTTTTTAATTTTAAATTAAAAGCCTAGGCTATTTGAATCAGTAGGGAGAAAAATTGTTCTTGCTTGAATTTGGTACCAATTCTCTAGTAAAAAAAAAAAAAAAAAAAAAAAAAGGACTTAGCCTATGTTAGGGTACACTGATAAAACTAACCTGAGCAGTAATCTTAGACCTATAACATCTGGGAGTCTACCCTAAGAAAGCTATCAAAGATGTCCACATGGCTGGCCACCTTGTGTGTTTTCCCCTAGTAGTTAATGAGGAACCAAGTCCACAGCAGTCCTCAAGGAAGGATAGGAGAGGCTTGGAGTTTATCAAGAGTGGGTCCTCCTTTAGGAAGGCTGCATCACAAGCCAATCTGAGGCCAAGTTCATCAAGCTTCTTACTTAGAAGAGTCACACTCAACATGAAGGAGAAAAATCCATGAAGTGAACTAATTTCAAAACATTTATGGAGTAAAAACAACCAAGCATAGCCAGGAAGAGTGGATCACGCCTTAATCTCAGCACTCGGGAGGCAGAGGCAGGTGGATCTCTGTGAGTCAAGGTCAGTCTGGTCTCCACATTAAGCTCCAGGACAGCCAGGGCCAGATGAAGCACCGTTCTCAACATGTGGGCCGCACAACACATCTCCTGCTTATCAGATCTTTACATTATGACTCACAACAGTGGCAAAATTATAGTTAGGAAGTAGCAACAAAATAATTTTATAGTTGGGGGTCACCACGCCATGAGGAACTGTATTAAAGGGTCAAAGTGTTAAGAAGGTTGAAAGCCACAGACAGAAAGAGACCTTATCTCAAAAGCAACAAAACCCACCCCCCAATCATGACAATCTACAGCGGACAGAGTTCAACTGCAATCTGCACGTCAACTGTTATCTCCACACCAACTGTTACTCCTCTTTGTCCTCAGTTAAAAAGAAAAAAGAAAAAAAAAAAAAAAAGACTATAAGCCCAACTCACCTTGTCTTTTTCTGAAGTATGCAGATTAAGGAAGATAAGCTTTTCAATCATCTCAACATGGCCCCTCTCAGCTGCCAAAAGAAATGGTTTTCTTCCTCTCTGAAAATCAATCACAAATTCTGCCTTTATTACACATTTAGCGACACTTGGGATAACTGACAAGGAATGGTAGCATTTTAAAGGTGATGGTTATATAATTATGTCCTTCTCATGGGAAGGGAATGATAATTTCTCTGATCCCAGGCCAGGCCCAGTTGCAGGCTGTCATCAGAACTGGGAGAACCCATATCAACATTGAATCAGTTTCATGGTGACAAGGGAAGTGTTCAGAAGAGATCCTCTGGAGCATCAGAAGAGCACTATGCCACAGTCTAATGATCAGATGCCATTTCAAATGTGGCAAGGATTCCTGAACAGATCAGCACTTCTTCCACTCAGCTAGTGACTGAGAAATTAGCTTAAGCCAGGTCCTGAAGCATCTCACTGCATCTCACTGATAAAAACACACGACACAGAAAAGTTTAGAGTTTAACACACATGAAGCTCATACAACATTTGCTCAGCTGAATTTTATTTTATTTTTAAAGATACAGTTATTTTTATTTAATGTGTATATGTAAACCTGAGCATATATATGTGCCAGAAGAGGGTATTGGGAACCCTGGAACTAGAGGTGAAAGCAGTTGTAAGCCTCTGTGTTGGTGCTAAGAACTGAACCCAGGTTCTCTGCAAAAGCAGCAAGTGTTCTTGACCACTGAGCCATTTCTCCAGCCCCTACGCCATCAAATTTGAGGCCACTTTTACTGGCTGTTATATTTCTAAGAACTAATCAGGAAAACTCTTGAGTGTGGGCCTATTTGAAAGGATAGAAAGGAAAAGTGGAGCAGAGACATCCAGAAACTCCAGTGACGAGGGATGTTTATAGCTGATTCTTCAAATATAGACTGTTTGAATAATAGTGATTTCTCCACGGTTTCCTGTTGATAATGGAGACTGCATTTGCAGTAGCCAAAATGTCAAGAAAAGTGAAAGATGCACAGAAAACTTAATTTTGTCAACTTGAGCTATTTTTGAAAAAAACGGAAAAGGAAACCGGATGACAAAACATTCAAAGATGAAATTTCTTCAACTAAAAAGAAGGAAACAGCTCGGCTTAGTGCATTAACTGAGAGTTTAGCAAGACGCCTTTAATGTAAAGTGAGTAGAAGATTCTATATATGTTCTGAATTTGTCATCTAATTGCTAGCTAACGACATTTAATGAAGAGATCATGGCTGCTGTTTGCTTATAAGGGAGGAAAAAGGAAGAGAAGCAGGCTAAAATAGTCCAGTGCTTAAAACAAAATGAAAGGAATCTGCTGAGATCAGCCCCACAGAGATTGTGTCCATAAATGCCAGACAATGGAGAAACAAACTAGCAACAAAACACTCATATAATTAATTGTTCTTAGGCCAAAGATAATGTCAATGAGACTTACATCTCCAGCCCTTCAAAGCTTGAAGAGATAATTGCCCTCTTTACTCTCAGGAAATCACCAAAGAGTAAAGGACAGAACAGGTTGGTTGGAGCCTGTCTACTGCGGGCCTGGCCCAGAGTTTCATACATGTCCCAACCAGGAAGTCTCTACCAGAAAGAATTTTATCCTCAGGCCCAAGATTTCCTTTAAAGTGGTCATTCTCAACCCATGAGGAGTCATGACCCTTTTGGCAAACCTCTATCTCCAAAGATATTTACAATATAATACAATTCATAACAGTAGCAAGATTACAGTTATAAAGTAGCAATGAAATAATTTTATGGTTGGGGGTCACCGCAGCATGAGGAACTGAATTAAGGGGTCACAGCATTAGGAAGGTTGAGAACTGTTGTAAGCTGCTTAATCGGCTTAAACTCTATAGCCCCTCTTTTGAGGCCCACTTTAGTTCTTAGCATAACTGTAGTTCTTCTGTTAACACCTGCTATAGCCTTAGCTATAGAAGCCATTTTGCCTTCATGACTCCATGTTGATCATAGGGTGAAATTATTTTCAAGTTCTCAGGCCTACACGCCTGAGACCAGGATATAATTCAATAGTTTGGTACTTGCTGCTTAGAATAAAACAATAGATGATAAATGTGTGTTCTATTAGAGGTAAGATTGCAACATCCTGCTATATTTCTTATTCCCAGAAAGCTGGAAAACCCCCAAGAGCTCACCTACCCTAAATCCCAGCCAATCAGGGTCAAGTGCTTTGTCTAGCTACCTCGATACAATACAATACACTTGGTCACAAAATCAATTATGTTTAGCTAGTGAAAATGATGTACTGCTGCCCCCCCCCCTCACTTCATACACCTGGTTACCTGGTTACAGTTTTTCATATTAAAAACCTGCATCATAGTCAGGCTCCCAGGTCCAGATTATGTCTTTGTCTGGTCAGTCTTTGTTCAGAGTTCAACATACTTTCATCAGTCTGAGTCTGGTGTCCAATGATCAGTGTGTGGCTCTTCCTGAACCCATAGCAGAACCACTGCTCCAAGAGATCTCCTTAGGTTCCAGGCCTAAAACATCATCATAGGCCACATTGGCACCAGTTGACTTAGACGCAGGAGCCACAGCTCGCTGGCAGTCGTGGCTCTCCACGTTAAGCCATTTACTGCAGTGCTGCCAACAGCTAGGCTTTTCCTGTCTCCTGTCGTGTAGAGTGATCACATAACTCATGGTGGTTCAGAATTGAGCATGTGATTCAAACAGGACCGAACGGAATTGCTTGTGACCCTCATATATGAGCTTTGATAGGAAAGGACTTTTTGTCTTTGGGTCAACATCCGTGAGGATTTTGGAAGCTGCGGACAGACATCTTCTCATCGCTCCGAGATCGTAGCGAGGACTGGAGGCAGTGGAATGGCGGCCAAAGTTGCAGAAAGATACAAAAGCTGGACACACCGTGTCTGAAAGCAGCAAGACAACCTTCAAAGACCTCGCTTATAAGTTAGCACATTTCTCAGCCCAGATTAAGATGAATTTTTGATACTTATAGCAGAAAGAATTCTAGTATATATTTATCAGTTTGGGGGACCATAATTCTAATATATGTATATATTACATGAAAAAAAAATCAACCTGTTGGGGGCTGTTCTGATGTTAGCTCTCAAGGTCGGTTAAACCTATCCTTCTTGATTAAACCTGCCTAAGTCACTATATCTGATCAGTGGATTAAACAGCCTACAGGGCAGGGTAGCATAGGTAGGTGTGACTAAGGCTCCCAGGCTTTGGGTTCAGGAGAATCATGGGAAACAGATGGATGGGAACAGAGGAGAAAGGAGGACACCACAATGGGTTAGTGTGAAGAAAACACCACGTTTTCTTCTGAGAGGAAGAACTCCAATAATGGCGTGAAAAGACCCAGATGAAGAATACATGCAAGTGCCATGGGATTCTGGATGGAAGGTAGACCAGATGAGGAGGATCAAGGCGGATGGCATTGCATGGCATCTGGGAGATGGACGGTGAGGCTATTGAGACCGTGTAGGTGAAATATCTGCCCGGCCCAAGGTAAAGAAGGCAGTTATAAATCTAACAGGTGTTTGTGTCTTACTATTTGTGACAGCGGTTAAATAGTATCGCCATCAAATCTTAGGTCTGATAATAAACATTATATAGCACAACGCTTTTTTTAAAAAAAGTTTACTACAACATCAATCAATCTGGGTTCTTTTTTTTTATTACTATGATACCAAAGGTAGGCCACTTTATAAAGTAAAAAAAAAAAAAAAAAAGTTTATTTTGGCTCAGGGTTCTAGAAGGGAAAAATCTAGGCCCACATCTGGGAAAGGCCTTTTTGCTTGTGGACTCCTGAAACATGGCAAGAGTCACAGGGCAAGAGACAGAGAGAGTGTGTTTCTTCCCCTCATTATAAAGCCATCAGGTTTCAATCATGGAGTTTCCACCCTGATGACCGAATCTAATCCTGATTATTTCCCAGAGGCCCAACCTCCTAACACCATAGTTGATTTAATGTCATTAACACAAAGCTCCTGGGATTAAACTCCTGTAAGAGTCTGAAGCAACTAATCACCTTGAAACCATAGCAAGGACAAACACTCCTCTAGAAGGATTAGTGGTCTGTTCATTTTTAAAATAGCCCATCTCCTTTTGTCTTGGGTTGCTGCAAAGCTTTACAGTTCTGTCTAGCTAAACAAAGTGTCAGAGGATCCACACCCAAAGAAGGCTTAAGACAGGAGAGGTTCCGGGAGACACTGAGTTATCACAGATGAAGTGTCTTGCTTTCCAGCAGAAGAGCTAAGTCTTCGAACTTTGGATGCCCTTTATAGAAATAACCAAGACGGTGGGGGCGGGAGTAAAAGCCGTGTTGCACTAATAGGATGTTTAACATAATCTTTATCTTTTAAATATTTCAAAAGTACCTTAAGGAAAGATGAAGCGATAATAAGATGTAAAAAAAAAAAAATACGCTATATATAATTTTTCTTGCCTAGGTTCATATGATTAGTCTAAAATACCAATAGGTATTTTAAAGTCATATGTACTTTTGAAAATAAAGTTTCTTATGTTGTCATTTCATTTTTATAAGAGACAACCCAACCCATTTGAATTATGTTCAAGTAGGCTTCTCTCCCGAACACCCTCAAGGGACTCCCTACATTTGGAAGGCAGGAAAACTTCCCAGCCATGTCCAAAAAAGTGTCATAGCTCCGGGCCTCATGCCTGGAGCAGATCATCATGCCTCCTGGCCCAGGACCCCGTGCCTTCCTTTAACTAGAATAGTGTTCAGGGTTCTAGTTCCTTTTTGTTTTTCCTTTGTTAACTCATATTTTTAACCATATGTTTCAACTTGATGCATTTAATTTTTTTGCATGTAAACAAGTCAGAGGAATTGAAAGGATCTATTATAAATTATTTGATGGTTCAAATTTACTAAGTCACCAAATGCAACAAAAAGGTCAAAACCAGCCATTAAATGGGCATCCAGAGTCCCACCAGACCCATTATTTACCATCAGAATCCTTGGGACACTGCTCTACAGGGTCTTTTTGTGGACATCCAGGCCTCACAGCATTTCCCTTTATGGAGCATAAAGAGAAAACCCAGAATAAAGCAGGACCAGAAATGTGCCAGGAGGTCATGAGAGTTCAGAGCTGGAGGTGTAGCTCAGCTGCAAGGGGTAGGGGAGGGGCATGGACCCTGGGTGAATTCTTATACACTGCAGTTGATAGCTTTGGCTAAATGCCACCTCAGTACATTTGGCCCACATATTCATGGATGAATCAAAATACTCACAATCCAAAATATTCAGGAAGGAAAAAGAAAACCTGTTATCTGCTGAACATGTAGACATTTCCTTTGTCATTCACCTAGCCACGTGCTTTAATAAATTACACAGTATTCTCATTGGAGCAGGTATTAACAGTGATCTAGAGGTATTTGAAAGGGCGCAGGAGGCTGTGTGTAAGTTCTATAAAGCACTACACCATTTTATATAAGGATTTGATCTTCTGCCTGTTTTAGCATCCAAAAGGAGTCCTGGCACTGATCCCTTATGGATAGTAAGGGATGCCTGAAGAAGGAAACAGATGTCTTCCCAATTCCCCTGCCACATTTTACTACCATCACCTCCTCCCCCAAGCCGGAGCTGCTTTTGGCTTACAAAGACTTCCAGCTCAGATGTTCCCAATATGAACAGAGGACAGAAGCATAACCAAATCTGTGTACATTTCAACCAGTATGCAAATGAACTTTGCCAATATGCGAATGACCTTGGCTGGTCTCCTTCCAGCTCTCCCAACATTGTGGTTTCTTTAGTTTTGCTCACAGATGGAGGCTGACATATAGATTCAAAACATTTAGACTTCTCAGCCTCCAACTCCTGGCTCTGATCTCTCTTCTCGGGTAACGTCACAGTGATTTTTAGGGCTGTACAGCTAGGAGAATGCCCAGATTCCTCAGTTTCCGCTCAGCATGTCCCGAGCTCCATCCAAACTCTCTTATGCCTAGTTAAATTCATTTTGTCTTAAAGGTCTCTTCCTGGTAAAGCTTCTCTTGCCAGAGTCTAGAATCCCCTGGCCTAACAGGATCTGAGCTGGAAGTGTTTGTAAGTCAAAAGCAGCTTCTTTGGGAGTGGGCTGGCGGGGCGCAGTCCAATGTGGAGGGAGAAGTGAGAAGACACATGTGTCCTTCTTCAGGCATCCCTCAGGGTCCACAAGGGATTCCTTGCAGGCATTTTACTAACCCTGTTAGACGACCAGACTCTTTCTGATGAGAAGAGTCCAGGCAACAGAGTAACAATATGAGACAGAGTAAAGCTTCCTGCACAATGGGGCCTTAGGAAATTTGCAATACCTTTATACAAATGATGAGCCAATAGCCATCAGCTCCTAATCCTCGCTCCAAACAGACTTCTCCTTCTTTTCCTTCTCCACCTCCTCCTCCTTCTTCTCCTACTTTTTTTTTTTCATGGTAAAACATTCATAACATAAAAGTTACCAATCTGATCACTAGTAAGTGCATGATTCAACAGTGTTAGGTTTAGCCATTCGCTGTCTTGGGTGTGGGCACGGGTGCAGGTCAAAGGACTTATGGGATCTGGTTCTATACATCTACCTCTTAGGTTCCAAGGATCAAATTCAAGGTATTGGCTTAGTGTCAAGTACCTCTTTACCCACCACCAGCATCTCACCAGCCCTGGACTAGGACCTTTATACTTTTGTGCAAGCATTACCACCATGCATCTCCACAGCCCTTTCATCCGAAGGAGCTGAAATTGTGTACCCTGTGAACAACAGCTCATTTCCATCCCCAGCCCTTAGCAAGGTCCACTCCTTCAAATGTCCTAGGGACATACTGTATTTTATTTGTCTGTTCCATTAACCCAGGTTTACTATAGCAATAAAAATCAACTCTGAGCGTCTCTCCCTATATATCCCAGTGAACCCCCTGGGTTCATTCTCTGTGGTCTCTGAGCCTATATTAACCTAAGGTTTCTCAGTGGCTTTGGGGCTCTACACACTGCTGAGCTCCTCAGCAGACTGCCAGAGGAGGAGGAACAGGATACCACAGGATAACAGACATGATGAACAGAAAACTCGGGAAGTAGGGGGAGCTGGGTATGGAGATACATGCCTAATCCCAACACCTTGGAGGCTGAGGCAGAAGGATCACAGGCCCAGGGACAGCCGGGGATACATAGCAAACTTCCATCTCAAACAAACAAACAAATAAAAGATGAAGAGGAGTAGGTGGCTCTCATTAAACCTGCTTCTGCCTCTGAACCCACCAGCCTGCTCCTTTTCTACTCACCACAGTCTCCCACAGAGTTCAAGAGTACACTGTGATGATATTTGTTCTAGGACCTAGGCCTGTCTCTGAAGGAATGCACATGAGCTCTTTTCCTCTGTGCCTAGCACATTAAGACGCAATCCTAAGGTAAAGCTGGCCTTATAAACCTCTTACAAAAAGAAAAATAAAAAGGCATCTAGACAAATACAGTAAGAGCATTAGAGGCCATGCCTGACGTCTGCAGAACTTGGGGTCAAGTATATTCTAAAAAGGTCAGGCACTACCGCATAAAGCTAGAGCACACAAGCACACATTCTGAATACTGATGGAGGTGGACAGTCTGAACCCTGGTTGAAAAGAGGGACAGAGGAGGAGGAGCCTGGCTGCCTATGCTCCCTGCTCTCCCCCCATGCAGAAGCCTGGGCCTTTGCCAACAGCAATACTTCCTCCTGCCTGGTGCTCTATCAGCGAGAGTAGGAGTTGGCTGCAAGGGCCACGCCTGTGTGTGCTTGCTGCTCTGGCAGCCCCTCCCAGGCAGGAAGAAGCAGAACGGATAAGGAGTCCGCCAACACACCTCATTGGGCTGGTTCATGTCCTGCAGGTGCAAGTCTTGAATGAGGTAATCCACAATGCGCAGGCTGTTGTTCTGAGCTGCGAAGTGCAGAGCATTCATTCCTTCCTGAAGAGGGTCGGGGTGAAGGAGTAAGTACTTAGCTCAGAACCCCATGACCTCCCGCCCTGTCACTGGTGTGGTGAGAGCTCAGGCCCTCAGGGCGCCTGCATACCTACCTGGCTCTCGGCTCTCTGGTCTGCTCCAGCTTTAACGAGCATGAGCATGATCTCCAAGCTTCCAGACCAGGCTGCAAGGTGAATTACTGTCAAGCCATGCTTCCCAAGAGGAGAGAAGAGGAGAGAGGACCCATTACATGATGAACCACCACATCTGTCTCAGCCAAAGGAAACCCTGTGTGGTACTAGATTATTGAGGAACTAAGAAATAAGTAATTTAATATGTACAGAAGTAATATTGCAATTCTACAGGGGACATATAAGTAGGATTCCATCTGAAGAAAATAAAACGAAATGCTTGCTGCACTATAGTCTACTAAAAGTAGATAAATACATACCACAAGCACAAAATAATAGCTAGATTAAAAATACCTAGACTATAATGTGTTCTCTCTTGATTTAGAGCTAAAAAAGAAAAAAGTAGAACATAAACCAATCAGACAAATGACACGTTCAAAGCCTATCATTAGTTAAAATACAAAATGGGTCTCTAACATGTGAGGCGTTCTCACACAGCAACCACAGAAAAGCGTGAGGTGAGGGATTAGAAAAATACCAAACATTACTGTGGAAACTAGCCGGCAGCTCTATTTGAAATCAAAATCTGCTCTTGGTCTTTTGGCCCAGGCCGCCTCTCTAGGTTGATGGCGTCTCCCTTCCTATCCCTCCCATCTGTCCTCTCAAGGTCAAGTGAAGTCTGCCAGCCATGTTTACCCTACTCTTCCCTCTGCCTGCTTTCCCCCTACATCAACAACAAAAAAATCTTCTCCATACTTAAAAAAAAAATCAAATCAAAACACAGGTATTCATCAACCCCTGGGACCCAAAGTTACACACACACACACACACACACACACACACACACACACACACACGAGTATTAATCATATCAATGAGTAACTAGAAATTATATACAGTCATCTATATGAGAGAGTTTCATAAATTGTGAAATAATTATATCGCACCACACCATCACAAGTAATAAATGATAGCAATAAAATGGACTTGAAAACACTTTCATGAACTTTGTTAATATGAAAAACAAGACATAAAGTGTAATTCCACTTAGTTTAATTTATTAGCATCATTGAGGTGCGCATGTGCATGCATTGTGTGTGAGTGTATGTCTATGGGGTATGCATGCTTGCATGCTGTGACGCATTTGAGGTTCTACCGTGGGACCCAGGGATTAAACTCAGGTCTCCAGACATGCAAGCATCTTTATTCACCGAGCCTCAATTTCATTGTCATAAAAGGTAAGGTAGGCAAAACCTCTCATATGCAAATGTGTGTGTTTATACCTCCCTTTAGGTAGATGGCTATAGGATGGTACATACAAGTATTGATAAAAATATTTTGATGCAGAGAGGATGATATGAGGGCATAGAAAGAAACACATACTTCTCACACAGCTAAGTGGAGCCACCAGACAAAAGAAGGGCACACCAAGAGAAGAAAACAGAAAAGACAAGTTTACAGAGGAACCCGTTCCCACAGAAGCTATCCAAAAACTCCCACAGGTGTCTGTGTGCGTGTATGTGTGCATGAAGGAGCTAGTCTGAGAGCTTCGTCTCCGAGCTTCCTGACCTGGGGAAAGCTGTATGCTGAATTGTTAAATCGTGCACTGAACTAGCAGATAGAGGCACGGAAGGAAAGAAACCATCAGCTCCGGCTGTTTCAGGAAAGTGGCATGAGGAGGCGAGAAGAAATGATCCGGGCATTCCGCTCACGCTGTGGGAGCTGTGGAGAAGCTCTGAGTGTGGTCTTCGCAGCACTCAGAACTGACTCCACCCTCACACCACTGCCAGGGACCTTAGTAGTAGTTAAAGCCCTGCTGCGGCTTCACAGTCCAGATCCTTTTGGTTTTGTTCTGTTTTTTGAGACACAGTCTCACTATGAAGAGCAGGCTGGCACACTCCTGACTCTGCCTCCCAAGTCCTGGGATTACAGACACCCTCCAACCATGCCCAGCGGTCTCCTTGTCTTTAAGGTCGCATGTATCCTTTTCTGTGTCCTTTATCCCTGTCAGAAAAGCCACCCATCTCTCCTACGCAGCCTTCTCGCTGCAGCATCTATGCCTCAAATAATGGTGATGGTTTTGGTCCAGGACACAGGCTTGTTAGATACATATATCTGAATAAATACTCAAGAAGTCAGGGACTGGAGGCCTCTCCTGTTTGCGACGTGTTTAAGCCCCTGGGTATGTATATCTTTGGCTGCTGCAGACACCATGCTTCGGTGTCCTCTTAATCTGAAAGGAGTTCAGGTTGGGAGAGTGCATGGGGAAGTCTGTGTAATTCTAACTCAGCGCCTCTCGACTACAGGCACTTTCTGGGGTACATCGAGATACGTCTGGGGACATTTTTAATAGTCCCCATTTTTAATAGACTCAGTGGTGATATAGGGCAGAGGCCAGGCATGCTGTTGAACACTCTGAGACACACAACCCTTCCTCACAACAAGGAACAGTAGGGTCCTAAATTTCAATGCGTCCGCAAGTACTCTGCCGAGAAACCCTGCTGTAATGTACATGCTCCATCAAACTTACAGCTCAGTTGTCACTCCATGAAGACTTAGTGCACTTTGTACTTACAAGTCCAGTGTAGAGAAAGCTTAGTGCTTTCTCCTCTTTCTTTTGCAGGAACGGGGTGATTTATCCTGGGTTCTTTTAAGTGCGTTAAGCCAGTTTTACCTCTTCATTTAGGATTCTCCTACTAATCACTACTCCATATTCAGGCACTTTATCCAGCTTCATACACGGTCCTGTTTGGTTCAGCTGATAAATCACATAGTGCTAGTCCCTCTCTTTTCCCAAAGAGATCACTCCTAATTTTGAGGCAAACAAGTTTCACAAACTCCTAGCTCTGATAGAAAAAAATCTAAACAGTGGAAATCCAAGCAACAAACAACTTGAGTTTCTGAAACCACGAATTCTTATTGGAGCCATTGTTCATTAGAGGCCAAGAATCACAGTATACAGACATAAATGTTCCCAGAGGGGAAAGGAGTGTTGGCACAAACCTGTGACCCCAGGATTCTGGGAGGCAGAGGCAGGCAGATTTCTGTGAGTTTGAGGCCAGCCTGAGCTACAAAGTGAGTCCAGGACAGCCAAGGATACACAGAGAAAACTTGTCTCAAAAACAAAAACAAAACAAAAGCAAAATAAATATCCCCAGAGGCCCTTCAATGTCACAAATTCTTCTGCTGTGGAGTTGGCCAGCTCGAGCCCATGACATGGGTGACACAAGGTATGAAATGCTGGAAAGTCACAGATGAGCTGTCCCCATAACCAGTCTGGTCACAGACAAGACGATAATGTCCCCTGGGAACAATGCACCCACGCACTTTTCAGAGAAGCAGCACCGAAGGCAGATGTCTGCCATTATCTTCTGAGCATCAGTCATACCCGAGGGTTCTGTCTACCCTGGATGAAAAACCTCCTTTTTATTTAGCTTATCTCAAAGCTCCTGGATGCCACCCCTCCTAGTTCTCAAATATAATCAATCAATCTGGGATATTTTAGAATCATGGATTTGTGTTTGTTTGTGTGTGCGTGTGTGTGCAGGTGTTACATGTAGAGGACAGAGGTCAATGTCAGGTGTCTTCCTCTTTTTCCCACCTTAGATTTGCTGGTTATTTATTTATAGGCAGGGTCCCACCGTGTAGCCCTGCTCTCTGTACAGTATGGGTCCAGCTACGATGGAGCAGGGGCCCTCCATTCTGTCTCTCCCACCAAAAACCACTAAGCTCTCTGGATAAAAGCCAGCTACCTGAGGACTCTGGGAAGTGAATGGTAATAGGCAGATTGGGGCACATAACCCAAACTCAGAGCATTAACAACGCTGAAGAAGTGTACGATGTTTTCCTAGAGACTCAAGGCCAATTCTAGACCAAGACATAGACAAAAAGGGACGGAAGGAAGCCCCTGGGGAAGAGAAGGTGGTAGATCCCTTGCCTCATTGCTCTTTGTCCTCGACAGCTTAGGGGAGCAGGGCCTTGGTGTATGTGTAGGACTCAGAGGTGTGTATAGAGGACACAGAGCTGTGGATAAGAAGGAACTTTGTGTACACTCTTGACTTGTGCCCTAAGGTGCACATGAATGCCTCTTAACACTGTGACAACAGCTTGGGGAGCTGAACTCTGGTGAAGACTATGGTCCACGCTCCGACTACAGCTCTGAACAGCACTGCAAAACTTTCGGAAAGCGGAGTGACATAAAAACCTGGCCATCCTTTTGCAACAAACACACTTTCTCAACCCATTTCTGCTCCGAACTAAAATCAACTCAAGATGGACCGCTGTCCTAATTGTAACATGGGGTAGGGGTCTCAGCAAGAATCGTCCCCTGAGAACACAGCATTAACTTGTTCATGAGGGCACAGTGCTATGAGCTATTCATCTCTTAAAGATCTAATCAGTGCCATGGCTCCAGGCATTATTTCCACTCCATGAACTGCAGGGGATGTGCTGAAACCATAGCAACACCCGAGCTAAATGGAAACCACACAAGACTATAAAATGTTTAGAAGAAAAATATGAGAAGATTGCCATGGTTAGGCAAATCACCCCCACATATACATAAAATCAGTGCTGGGACTCACTTTTAAAAATATGAACATTAACCCAGGCATGGTGGCACATGCCTTTAATACCAGAACTCAAGAAGCAGAGAGAGGTAGGAGTATCTCTGTGTGAAGGCCAGCCTGGTCTACACAGCAAGTTCCAGGTCAGGCAGCATTGTGTGATAAGATCCTGTCTCAAAACAAACAAACACCAAAGATTTTACTGCATTGAAATTAAGAACTCTATGAACATGGAGAAGACAGTCTGTAGCTATGAGAAGAGAATACAAACTACACACCTAACACTGGACTTATTCTCAGAGTACATAACAAACTCCAAAAACTTCACAAGTAAAGAATAAGTTAAAAGAAATAAAAAAATAACCAAACCCAGTTCTCAGAGATGTTCAAAAGATCTGGCTGGGAAGCAGCTTGGTGGTAGATGGCTCAGAGGTTCCCACCTCCAGCACTCAGAAAGTGAGCAGATTTCACTAATGATGGCACATAAATGGTTACAGGTAAAAAGATAGTTAATGTCATCTACCAGAGGAGAAGCACAAATCAAATGAGTGAGCTGTCTCCCTGGCCAGTTTCCTGTGCCATGATGCAGTAGGGAATGGAGGTGGAGAAAAAAGGGGAAAGGCCCTTGGGGTGGATTTGCTATCTTGGCAGACCAACAGGTAAACTGGTTTGTAGATAACAGCACACTCTCTGAAACCAAAAAGGTTGTGTCAGAGCTGCCGCCAGTCCTTTCTAATACAATTTTGAGGGACATGAGCTCTAGTCTCTCTATGTGAGTCTTCTTATCTATATTCTATATCTATATTCTACTGGTACTTTCCCCATAGGATTAGAAGGGAGATGGCATTCAATATCCATCCTGATTCCCATGCCTGGCACCAAACATGTGTGATGAGTTTTATTTAGAATCAGAGTCTACAGGGCAAAGCCACCATCTAAAGTTCCTGGAGCAGATTAATCTTTCGTGACAATGTGGACAGTCACATTGTTTTTGTCAACGGAAGCCAGTGCCGTAAGGTCAATACAGGAAAATAAGTAAACGCCCAAGTCTTGAGGGCAATGAGCAAACACTTTAGTCAGCAAGTGCAAACAGTACACAGTGCATGTCTTCTCCCGAGGCCTCTCCAATAATGCACAGCTGATGGAAGTGTGCCGGAGAGGAGGGCATCTGTAGTGACGGATGCCCCTGCCTGCAGGTGATGCACCCATTCAGCCCACCCTCCAGAGGCCAGCGTACCTTGTCAGGGACATCCACCCTGGCTTTGTGACTCAGTAAGAAATCCACTGCAGATAAATTACTGCTTCCTACTGCAAAGTGCAGGGCTGTGCGGTTCATCTGAGGAAACAGCATTTGCATCTTTGCTGTTGTTATCTGACCATCACTCAACCCTTTCACCAGTGCAGTGTCCTCTGATCATTTTGTTTCCTCACATTGTAGCCCAGGCTCGGTATGTAGCCAGATCATGCCAAGCTGGGTCTCCTGTCTCTCACATGGCCACTACTTTCCTATTGACTATTTGATTCTGATTATTTGGTTGCACTTTTTACCTCTTCCTTTGAAAGGTGAAAGAACCATGTCCAGCAGGTCCAAGCCTGTCATCCCAGCATTCAGGAGGACCACAAGTCCTGGGTTACATTGTGAGACTGTCTCATAAACAAAATGTCATTCACACAGTAAAACTTGTATTTTTTCTTGTATGCAATCATTAATAATGACAACATTTTTTGTACATCATGTATGTTAGATGATGTCTTGTTTCTGTGACAAAGTAACTGAGGTAAACCATTCATCAGGAAGAAACCTTATTTTGCCTCCTAGCGTGAGTCTAGTCAGACTGGCAGGAAGGATGTGCTAGGGCAAAGCAGCACGCCTGCACTAGCTGGGAGGAGAGAGAGGCAGAGGCTGGGGTGTCAGGCGCCCTTTCTAGAGTAGGCTCTAAGTGACCTGTCCCAATCTGGTAAGTCCCATTTCTTAAAGATTTCACCAGCTTCTGCTGGGCAGCAACCAAGACTTCAAGATGGCTCTTGGAGACACTTAGGATTTAAGTCATAATAGAATATATTGACAATTCACAGCAAAATTTCCTGTCTCAGTTCGTTCCTTTTCTTTCTTCTACATATTTCTTAAAGATTTTAAGCTTTATGTATATGAGTGTTTTCCTGCATGAATATATGTGTAAAATGGGTACCCAAAAGAGGCAAGAGTTCTGATTCCTTGGAACAGGAGTTACAGCCATCATACAGCGGCTGGGATACTTGTGCCATCTCTCTAGCTACAATTTCCTCTTCTATAATCCAAGCAAACAAACTGTAATTTCTATAGACACAAATAAATTGGTTTAGAAGGAAGGGAAGGAGGAAGAAGGGGAGGAGAGTGGGAAAATGAAGAAGAGAAGGAATAAGGAGAAAAGAAAAAAGAAAGAAGAACGGAAGAAAGGAGAGGGGAAAATTGAGGAAGAGAAGAAGGAAGGAGGGAAGAAGAGAGGGAGAAGTTAGAGAATGGGGAAGGAGAAGAGAAAGAAACCTACTGAAATCTTGTACTTCAAAGGAAAAGCTGCATTTTGCTCCTGTGATGCCCACAGAAAATTTACCTCGTTTTCCACAGCAGATGTTTTGTTTATCAGTAACATCCAGGCACATTGCCCATCTTCTAAGTACTGTTTCAGTTCCCCAAAAGGATGCCTGCCATTGAACAGACTAGTCTTGCTTCACACAGTAATTACATACACATGAGGATGATTTGAGATGAGCATTTTGTTTTCTTGCTTGCTAAACTGGTGGTATTTAACAAAACACAAGTCATCTTGACATTGTCTGAAACCTAGAGTTTATTCTATCATGTCAGATTTGGGCTATAAGCTTCTCCATAAACTTTATTTGTATAAGAATGTAACAATACTACTTAAATTTTAAAAATATGTTTCATCACAGATTTTAAGGAACCCTGCAGCTTACCATGACAACAAGTTGCTATAAACAAGATTATTTTAAATAATTATTTAAAAGAACATTACAAAAAAAAAAATCAGTTGTGGAATATTTGCTGGTATGTGTAAGGCTCTGGGCTTGATCCCCAGGCTACAATCGAGGGCCAAGTCCAGTCCCATAACCCTGATGGTGGGCTTCCCAACCCACCCACAGACTGTACAGATGTACTAAAGACCCTGTGTACTTCCTTCTGTAGAATGAAGAAAAGAGAGAGGGAGATGGAGAAGAGATGGGGGTTGACACACAAGGATGTCCTCTGGCTTCTATAAACATGCCCACCCACATGAACACCTACACACACACAGATGTGAACACATGTTGACGAACATATACAAACACACAAATGTCTGGGAAATAGATCAGTGGCGGGTTGCCTCAAATGTGTGAGGCTGCAGGTTAAAAACCAGTATTATAGCTACTTTGTGTAGAGCATTTTAAACGGTTTTAAACGCATACCAGAGACTGTGTTGCCTGATAGTTAGAAAAATGACTACTGCCATACTTGCTCAAAAATGAATCTCCATGCTCATATAATTTTAAGAGATGAATATATGTAATTTAGCAAATAACTATTTTCAAAGGTTTTTACATGCCTGCTTCTTCTCTTTAGTTTTCTTTTCAGTTTTAAAGCTCTAGCTGGCCTGGAACTCCCTATATAGGCCAGGTTGTGCTCGAACTCACAGATCCCCCTGCCCCTTTCTCTACGCATGTTCACAGAAGCCAGAAGAGGGCACTGAATCTCCTGAAACTAGAGTCACAAATGGTTGTGAGCTGACATGTAGGTGCTGGGAATTGAACCAAGGTCACCTGCAAAAGCAGCTAGTGCTCTTAACAGTTGAGCTGTCTCTCCAACCCAACCTTAGAGTGCATCACAGGAAAAAGAGGTAGATATTACAGAAAAGCAAGTCCTGGCTTTCCAGAATGGGCAAGAGTGAACTGACCCACAGGATGCAATTTAGGACCAAATCCAGGCCTACTACGCAACGGTGGACTTGCCTGTTGACACACAGACTTTGCCTACATGTACGTAAGACCTTGCACCCTTCTCTCCCGAGTGAAAACACTCCGAGCCTGCTCTGCTGCCTAATTCCACCTTTAGCTTTCACACCCAATTAGAGCCCCAACAGGCCAGCCAGGCTAGTCTCTTCAACTATTATCGTTAATTCGGTTGACCGGTGGACCCCCAAGCCATCACTTGTCTGTGGCTTCTACTCACATTGTTCACAGCATTAATGTTAACCTTCTTGTCAAACAGCTTCTCCATAAGATCCAAATTATTGCTTTTAGCAGCATTTTGAAAGCTCCTCTCAATTGGAAGCACTGGAAGAAAGAAAGCGAGCATGACCCAGGGAAGTGAAGGAGGCCATAATTCTCTGTCACATTTCGTGTGACTGCTTGCACTCTGAAAGGTTGGAATGGCAACCCTGGGACTCTCCCACTCTACTGTTGAGGACACGGCCTATCTGCTGAAACATTTCACAAAGCCAGAACACCGCGATTCTACCTTCTGACATTGCAAGTGTTTTCAAACCCTCAAAATGTCCCTGGCCTCAAACAAAGCAATGCTCAAGAAGACCACCCCTGAAGCCCACAATCTGATACCAGCTTAGCATGTCAGAGGGCCCAACAGACTGACCTCCCTGGGGACCTTGTTTGTGGGAAGTTAGTAGAAGGTGACACTGTGAGGAACATTCATCTTACAAAGACAAAACTTCTATCTACAAAACTCAGACTCTGTGGGAACAAAACTTTAAAATGGGCTTGCTGTCGAGACCCATGTGAAGGCCAAAAGGAATGAACATGTTTTATTCTTACTTATTAAAAAAAGGACATAAAATTGGAGTCACACCTACTGTGAACATGACCTCACACACATATTATCTGTCTCTGTCTCTCTGTCTCTTTCTCTCTGTCACACACACACACACACACACACACACACACACACACACACACGACATGCTTTATTAACTAGTACAAAGAATATTCAAGGGAGCCAGAAGGTTCTCAAGAGTTAGTCCCTATCATGGGGGATAATATAAAAATTGAGGTTAAGAATTAACAGCAGACATGTGACAAAATGTTTTGAACTGAATGAAAAAGAAAAGACAGGGCTAGAGCGATGGCTCGGTGGTTTAGAGCACCGATTATTCTTGCCGAGGACCCGGGTTTGGCTCCTAGCACTCGCATACTGCTCACAATTGTCTGCCGCTCCAATTCCAGGGGCCGGAACTCCTCTTCTGGCCTCCACACACACATCATGCATGGCACACATGCAGGCAAATACTTGTACACATGAAATAAAGGCAAAGGTTTTTGTTTTGTTTTTAAAGAAGACAAGGGCAAATAAACCTCAAGCAAACAGATAGAAGAAAAATAGCAAGGTAAAGTGAGCAATAAAATTGCAAACAGAAAAAAACATAAACCAAAGTCAATGAGAACAACAGATGATTATCTGAACATACTAATAAACCAAAAAACGCCTATCCAGATGACATAAAAAGATCAATATCACAAATGAAAGAAAGCATATTTGTACAGACCCCACCAGACATCAAAAGGATGACATGGTTCAGGAGGTAGAGGCAGGTGATTATGAGTTCAAGACACTAGGTAGTTGGGGTACGCAGTAGGACTGTTTCAAAAAAAAAAAAAAAAAAAGAAAAGAAAAAGAAAAAGAAATTAAAAGAGAAAGAAAAGAAAAAAATAAAGTAATATTGTGAACAATTTCTTTCACGTAAATTTAACAACTAAGATAAAATGATGTACTTTCTAGAAAAACTTAGACCACAAAATTCCATGCAATATTATTTAATTAACACAGATAACACTATTAGTTAAAACTATTCCAAAAAAGAAATCCTTATGCTCAAGTAACTTTTTTTTTTTTTTGTGAACTTTACCAAATATATAGAGACCAGCAGAGTCTATAAAAAAATCTCCTTTAGGAGCCAACAAGATGGCTCAGCAGGTAAAGGCTCTTGCCATGCAAGCCTGGTGACCTGCGCTCTAACTCCAGAAAGGATGTAAAGGTGGGAGAAGAGAACTGACTCTATAAAGCTGTCCTCTGACCTTCACATGACCAGGGAGCATGCATTGCCACCCTCACAGCATACAACACACACACACAAACATGCACACACAATACAATGTATTTATAAAATAAATAGAAACATAGAAGAAATAACTTTTCACCCCCTTCCCTAAAGAAAAAAAATAAACACCTTTCTTGGTTAACTGGAGATAGAAGAGAATTTGATTTTGAAAGGGCATCTACAAAAAAACTGACAACAAACATCATACTTAATTTTTTAAAATCTAAACTTCTTTTGTTCCTAAGATAAAGAATAAAAAGAGATTTCCACTCTTACCTCTTTGTTTACATATTGTGCTAAACATTATAGTTAAGTATAAATTGGTACAATATGTGAGAAGACATATAGGTGGAAAGGAAAAGTGTCTGACCTGCCTTCAGACAGCTTTGTTATACACATATAAAATCTCAAGGAATATACGAAGCAGCTCTAGAAAGAGCAAAGCTTAGCAAGTTTGCTGATTCAAGACCAATATCTAACTATCATTCACATTTTATATATCAGCAATGAACAAGTGAAAAACTAAAATTTACAAAACACTATTTACAACTGACCAGAAACCAAAATACTTACATGTAAAGGAAATACAACATACACAGTTTCTCTGTACCAAAGAAAGGTTGGTGCTGGGGAGTTGGCTCAGTGGTTAAGAACACTTGTTCCTCTTGCAGAGGACCCAGGTTCAAATCCCAACATTTACATGGCAGTCCCAGTGGACCCCAAGCTCTCCCCTGACCTTCCAGGCCCTGAGGCACGCACCTGGTGCACATCTCCACACTCACGCATAAAATAATGAACTAAATCTTAAAAAAAAGGAGGACCTCAGCGACGAAGACCTCAAAGTCTAAATCACGGGACAATAGAGCAAGTCCCTGGGGGGGAACAGTGACCGTCATAAGCGGTTTGTTGTCCCCAGATCTATTAATTTAATGCAATTTTAATGAAATGCCACACAAACATATTGTCTCTATTGGCAGGTTCATTATAAGTATGCAAAGGCAAAGGCAGTTTTGAGAGACCGGATCAGTTCTGAAAAAGGGAAGTAATGCTGGGAGACCCGCATTAATTGGCTTTCGTGCAATGCACAGTGGTGTACAAGAGCAGGGAAGCAGGGCATTAGCATAAAGGAGCGCGCACCAATAAACACACACAAATAGTATCAGTTGCTTTTTGACAGAGGTTTGCAAGTTTTGACAACAGAGAGCAGATAATCATTTCAACAAACGACATTTAAATATTTGGACACCAAACTGACTCTTAATATAAACTTTATATCTAAAAAGAAATGAACTTCAAATGGACTGTATATGTAAATGAAAAACACAAAATATAAACTTTTAGAAGAAAATACGTAAGATTTCTTATACATAACAACAACAGTATGGCTATAAATGGGGGGAAAAAGCTGGTAAACTATATTTCATCAAAATGTAAAACTTTCAGTCCTATGAAAAGTACCATTAAGGAATAAGACATGTTGCAGAGCAGGTTATTATATTTGCAAATAATATTTCTGACATATAAAATACACCCAGAATATTTAGCTCTCAGTGTCCAACAACCCAATTTAAATATGGAAAAAAAAAAAAAGACTTCAAAAGAACAGAGAGGAACCATAGTGATAAAAATACGTTACCACTACCATGAGAGAATCACAAATTAAGAGCAGCAACGAGACACCATTGCACATTTACTTAAATGTCTAAAATTGAGAGAAATAAAACACCAAGTTTCTTCAACACTTCTTTGAGAATGGACTTACTCTGCCGACGGTCCTGTGTTAGTAAAATGCCTGAGACAGTGGACAGAGGATGAGAAAAAGTTTAATTTGGCTCTCAGTTTTAGAGGTTTCATTTTAAGGGGGTGGGGGTGGGGCGAGGATGGGGTGCGATGGGGACTGAGGCAGCACAACAGAACGTGCTGATACATGTGGAGAAGGCAGCAGGAAGAGAAGGGTAGGACAGTCCTGGAATTGTCTTTGGGGTTGCCCTCAGGAACATGAGAACGTCCTTCCACTCAGCCCGCCTGCTACAAGTCTCGCGAGGTCAACTAGTGCAGTGGCTTCAACCCCGAGGAGACAGTCCCCATCCGCAGCCTAACCCTCTGCAGTCTCAGTAGTCCTCACCTTCACTCATGTCAAGCTTCATTCAGGCTGACATCTTCCTCATTTGAAGCTGAGGGACTCCTTGTCTACCTCTGCTTGACTCTAGCTCGCCTTTGTTTCTCCCGGAGCTTGCGGCGGCGGCTACGCGCAGCTCTCCTTGGGTATCTGGGCAAAAGTGGGTGCTCTGTATCCTGACCTCAGGTCCTCCTGTGCCCTGGCCCCACCCACGGCCTTCGCAGGGCCCTCAGACCCTAGCCCTGAATTGTCCCACCTGTTTGCTTCCTTGTTTGTGGTCCCTCGACCTCCACCACAACAGAATGCAAGCTCCACAGGGCCCGGGACTGTCTCGTCCTCTGCATCTCTGTCTCTGAAACATGTCTTGCAAATACTAGGCCCCGGACAACAGTTCTGGAATTAGCTAACTAACTGCACCTTGTATTAGGAAATGGTACACAGCTGTCAAGGCTGGGGCTTCAGGAAAGAGCCCATCCACGACAGCCCACAGTGTGCCGTGAAGATACTTGAGCCCTTCACTTTCAACGCCTGAAGGCTTCCTCAGTGCGGCCTCAGTTTATACTATTTTCCCAATGCATAGCTGATCGAGTCCCCGTGCTGTGGAAACCTAAGTGCAGTAACCGTAAGCGATTTAAAGTCACAATAAATCTGCGCATAAATCATGACTTGAAGCAACAGTACAAGGAATTCTTTTATTTGGACAGGAGCGTACTCATTTCTTCAAACATTCTTGTCCTCAGCTTGGAAAAGTGATCCACCCATCCACAGTATAGACTATGAATCAACAGTCAGCGGGGAGAATTTCAAAGCTGAAAACCAGCCAGCGAGGGGACAGTGTCGGAGGACAGACATCCTGAGGGTCGCCGGGGCAGAATGCTGGCTCCCGTTTCCTTCCAGGCTGCAGTGAGTGCTCCTCTAGTTCCTAGCCCACCCTCTGCCATCAGGAGACCTCGTGGTCCCAGGACTCACAGCACTCATGTCCTGCAGCTGCTGCCTCCGGGTCTGGCACCTCGGGCTTCGGCATCCTGGCCAGGCTCCTCCAGGGCCCGGTGGCCGCGGCCCTCAGCTCGGCCCCCAGCCCCCTGGCCACCTGGAGCATCAGCGTCCTCGCCCCGTGGGGCTCACGGCCTTGCCTCTCGGGGTTCATGGCCACCCGCGCTGTGGAGACCTCCCTGGGGTGCTGAGCTGGAGTGGAAACGCACCCCGCAGCAGCGCAGGGCGCGGTCAGCTCTCTTTGGCTAGGCACAGGCCCTTGGTTCTCCAGCCCTGCCCTGACCTGGGCTGGTCGGCAGTGTCCGCCTTTAGGTGTGGCTTGCCAGGTACTAGGGTTTGGCTCTACACAAAAGGAAACATTGCTAGAAATCTCTAAGCCCTCAGAAATGATCCATCAGTTCTTTGCATAATTTTAAAAATCTCTGGGTTGATTTATAGTCTGTACTCATGACTGGAAATTCAATATTAAATACTTCCTAGCTGGGCTTCCAGAATTTCCTCCTGAAAACAAATAACAAAACAACAAAAAAAACCGACTTAATTTCTTATTTGATAATCATGACATTATCAACTGTCCTGGCTGATTCTATTAAACACTGAAATAATACAGAGACAAGTCCAACAAGTCCCAACTCACCAAATAAGATTCAAATATGCTTTTCCATTATGAATTGACAAGGCATTTCAGGTGGTTCAGCGGGCAACAGCACCCGCCACCCTTGCCGAGGACCAGAACCTGAGCTCTAGCGCCAGCTCTGGATGGCTTATACCCAGCTGGAACAGCAGCTTCAGGGCAACCTAAGCCCTCTTCTAGCCTCAATGGCACTGGCATGAACATATGCATACACATACATGATAAGAAAAAAATAAAATTATATGATATCAATTTACATTTTTTTTTAAAAACTGTGTAGCCCAGGCTGGCCTCGAACTCGTGATCCTCCTGCCTCTGCCTCCTTCAGCAAATCCTACCGGTGTGCACCACCACAACCGGCCAATTTACATTTTTAAGCTTGCTTTCCTCTCTAATTTTTGTGCACCAAATTTTGAATATTAAATCAAATCAGTGTTTCTCGATTTATCAAGGAAAAATACAAACATGACAAAATGTCCACCCAGAACACCATCTAGAGCTTTTTGAAAAAGAGTAAATAGGCCTAATCTTTATAGTAGGGTATTATGATCAAAACAATAGCAAGTACACTACAGTGAATACCAGCAGAAATATAAGGCAGGACTTCCAAGGAAAGTATAATACGTAAGTGGAAAACAGCATTTAAAACTATATGTACCTGATTACACATACAGTTCCAAAAAACAGATGAAAATGTCCGGTAAAACAGTGCCAGAATATTTATTATTATTTACAATTTATTCACTTTGCATCCCAGCTGTAGCCCCCTCTCTCATATCCTCCCAGTCCCACCCATCCTCCCTCTTCCTCCCCTATGTCCCTCACCCCTAGTCCACTGATAGGAGAGGTCCTCCTCCCCTACAATCTGACCCTAGCCTATCAGGTCTCATCAGGACAGTCTGGATCCTCTTTCTCTGTGGCCTGGTAAGGCCACCTCATCAGGGAGAGGTGATCAAAGAGCAGGCAACCGAGTTCATGTCAGAGACTGCCCCTGCTCCCCTTACTAGGCATCCCCCACGAAGACTGAGCTGTCCATGGGCTGCATCTGGGTGGGGAGGTCTACATCTTCTCCATGCATGGTCCTTGGTTGATTTGTCAGTCTCTTCAGGGCCCTCTGGGCCCAGAGTATTTCAGTGCTCCTCTTTCTTCATGAAGACCCTGAAGCATTCTTTGCTGTGGTTTTCTAGGTGACTCTCTGCTTACCAGATTGTAGGGCAGCATTAGGAGTGCATGATGGATTTACTACAAGGCAGGTCTTGTGTTTGTTATCAATGGCTATTATATTTCCAGGGATTTTGACTGGTTAAGGCTATATAGCTTATGTCAAGGCGAAATACTCACACCGTAGGTTTCACACAAGGAAAGTCACTAAACCTTCCTTTACCAGTCCTCTCAAACCTGGAGTTAAAAGCAGGCCTCAGAGGAAGACAATGCAACCAGTCCTGATGAGACCTAATAGGCTAGGGTCAAATAGAAGGGGAGGAAGACTAGGGGAGGGGCATACAGAGAGAAGAGGAAGGGAGAGATTGGGAGGACAGGAGGGAGGGGGCCACAGCTGGGATAAAATTGAATAAATTGTAATAAATGATAATTAAAAAAGAAAAAAGTGTGAAAGGAGAAAAAGTTTAGGGAAAAAAAAGGCAACTCAACATGATACTCTGAAAACACTGTTTATGGTCTGTCTTTATAAAGACACTCAAGTTGCTTTAGAGCAGCGGAAGCTGAGGAAGCAAGTGTGATGTCAGCATGGAGGAAGCCAGTAAGGCTTCACAGAAGAAATGCAAGGGTAGGTGGAGTCTGATAACATATTTGGGGTTGAGAGAAGTAGAGGCAGAAATAAGGGGGTGATCTGACCGATAACCCACGAGGAATAAAGCACTTGAAAGAACAGTAGGAATCTCCTTAGTTGCTTTCTCCTGCCTTTTACTTTCCCTGTCCTTACTGTGGGCATTGCCTACATTCTTTTAGCATGAAGTTCCTTCTTTAACTCTGCAACACTTCTACTATGTCATTGGGGAAACCTCAGTCTCGTGGAGACTGCTTCCTTAGGAAGGCTTTTGGACCTTATAACTCTATGCTAACGTTGAAACCAAAGCACTCTGAGAGAGTGGTCTGGGTTTACAAGTGACTTCTCCTAATGCTGCTCTTGTATTATCACAGAACACACAAGATGCCAAAAATTACTGGAGCAATAAAAAGGACATACTAAGAGAGATGTCTTTTCCTTCCATTGAAGACGGTTGTACAGACATGCGATCACTCTGTTTAATGCTACTTGAATAGCACACTGTAATTTCACAAAGGAGCAGGCCCCACTCCTAAGACTCCCTAATGTGTTAAGAATTTGAGATTTTAAAAGGCAGAAAAATAGTTACCCTAAGTGAGCCCTATCTTTTTATTCTATATTTTAATGCAGTTCAGATGGACATTTATGTTGCAAGCAAATTTCAAGGGTTACCGTGGCAGGTCCAGGTTGCTCAACTCCCACATTTTGCAAAGAAAGGCCCCTCTCTTCAGAAGGGGCCTCTGAGCCCTTGGCCTTTACCAGCCTGGTAGGAATGTTTCATGCCCAAAGCTCTGGGCCAAACTGTATTGTTTGAAGAGATAACTTGTATTACCAACTGACTTATTTTGAATGTATGCCTTTTGAAGACTGAGGTCTTGGCCCACCAGCTCTCTGGAAGGTTTAAGGCCTAGTAGCTAAGGTCAGTTGGGGTGATAGGAACACCTGTCAGATTTTCAGGAAAAATTCTGGGTATCAAGGATTGGGCAAGGCGTCTTGGTGATATCTTGCATGCTGGCAGAGTACCTGTGGGAGAACTGCGTATACTTCATATGCCTCCCCTGGAAGCCTGAGGTTCTGCTGACCTCAAGCTCACCCTGTGCTGTGATTGAAACCCTGGATCTGACATACACAGAAAAGCATCCATCTTCTAGTATAAACTAGCCTCTTTACTTATTAGTTTATATCTTTTTACTCTTACAAGTTATAATCCCAGGCTTTGTAACTTTTCTCAGTTCTATTAGTCCTTCCAGAAAATAATCACATTTGTGGGTGGCCTAGGGACTCCAGGTAGTGAGATTCTATCAAATTTAATTTTTCTCTGAGTTATTAACCATAGAAGGACTGTTTATTTAAAAGCCAACACTTTTCTTACTACGATATTTAAAATACCCTCCCGTTACCAATCCTACTGTTAATACATTATTAATTCCTACATAAAATTTAGTATCTACTTACCTTTTTTTTTGAGACAAGGTCTCACTATGTAAACCAGGCTGGCCTTGAACTCAAGAGATCTTCCTGCCCCTGCCTCCTGAATGCAGGGATTAAAGGTATATGCTACCATACCTAGCTCTATTTACCAATTTCTAAGGTGTATCTGTGAGAGGTTAGTTTTATATAGTTATTCTTTCTGTTCATGAATAAGATTATTCCATTTATTAACTTATACTATTTATCTTCCAATACTCTTTAGTTCCCAAATCCTTAAACATTTTTTCCTTTTGCGGCACCTGAGAGATTCCCATAATAAACAAGATTACTTTTGTTCTATTTTCTAATTGGTCATTACTATCTTATAGGAATAGTATAGATTTTATAGGCAGAACTTTATTGAACTCTGAAAAAAAATGTAGATTTAAAACATAGGCAAGTGAGCCAAAAATAAATTTTCTCTTAAAAAAATGTAGGCAAACACACTGACCATATAAAGTTTCATTTTTATTTGTTTCTAGTTTTCACTCACTAGAGGATGGAAAAAGATGGTCTGAATAGTGTAATGAGGTCAAGGTATGATTCAAAGTTGGGAAGACACACAAAGGAATGTGAGAGATGTGGCTTTTGCATGGGGCTGGAGACGTTAAGACAGAGCTTCCTGGCTTAGGAGGCTTCTGGCGAGGAAGCAGCAATTTCTGTAAGAAGCTCTGGATTCTCCTGCTGAGAAGGGAATATGAGAGCCCAGCTGATGTCATACACCACAGCTCCTGATACTAAGGCTCAGGGACATCATGGAAGATGGGGCGGGAAGATTCTAAGAGCCAGGGGGCTGGAATTCTGCTGAGATAGTGTCTTTTACATATGACAAGTGGGTTATACCCACAAAATTTCAACAGCAGAGTCACTCAAACAAGACCCACACAATGACAACACTAGTTACACATGCCAGCACGGAGGGGGCTCCTAGATGAAGAGCTACAGCTGACAGCTGAGAAAGGGAGATCGGTCTTCTCCAGGAAGCCCCCGGTAAGTGGTCAGCCCTAAACACACATACATATGAGCTACATTCAATGCATTCAGCAGGTTATATATAGGTAACTATGTGTGCGCATATATATATATATAACAATAATTTACAGAGGTCATCATTTTGAGAGGGATTGAAGGGACATGGGAGAAGTTGGAAGAAAAAATAAAAGAAAATAATGTAAATACAGTATGCATGTAAGAAATTCTCAAAAATTTTTAAAATTTTAAGTTATTAAATATATATGATAGCATTCAAATAAACGGGGCATCTAAGTGAAAATAATTTCTTACTGTCAAAACAACAACAATAAATTTCAGATGGGAGAAAATAATAAAGTAATATCTACTTTTCAATACATTAAATCAGTTTCATTGAATTCAAATTTATAAATAATTCATATAGGTAAATCACAATCAATAACCAAACACCCAGCTTCGGAACTGTCATGGTCTGTGGTATCAGGTAAGGGAGTGGTATGTCAGCAAACTTTCAGCCCATCTTTAAGCCGCCTCATAATCCAGTAAGTCTGTGGCAAACGAGCCCAAGGAGGTTGTACCTCAAATATTTCTCTGTCTACTGCAAATGCATTACAATATGCAAAGACAAAACTATAAAAATATGCAGTTCTTTTTTCTTTTGGTTTCTTTAGAGAGACTTTCTCTGTGTAGCTCGGGCTTTCTTAGAACTCACTTTGTAGACCACACTGGCCTGAAACAGAGATCTGCCTGCTTCTGCCTCCCAGTGCTGGCACTAACGGCGTGCACCGCCGCCACCATTGAGCAGGATTTGGTTGTTAAAGCAGTAGCAGGAAGGGCTTTTTGATAAGACCTTGTGGGTATCTGTGTTTGGAGTAACTAATGGCTCCAAGTCTTTCCTGCATACATCTTAACAGAGAGGTGGCAGATATGGAATTGAGGTAAGGCTTCGGTAGGCTTCGGTAGGCATTCATCTCCTGAGCTGCACATTTTCTCTTAAAGAACAGAATGAAAATCAAGCGACTTATCTCGTTCATTGCAGATTTGTAGAAAGTCAAATATCATTGAGCAGAAATGAAATGCTGCTGTTTAAAATACTGAATTAAGAAAGACTATTTTGAATCACTAAACATTTCTTCATGTGCACCAAGTGCTTACTGACAAGAAAAAGCAAACAAATGTGAGCAAGCCCTCCAAACACAGGCAGTGCTGTGCGCTGCCTTCCTGAAGGTCGTGCTAGTCCCACGCTCTCCACAGACGGCCCGGTGAATGCAACGACAATGCTCACTGATCGCTTAGAGCATGAGCAAGTACAGCAGTGTCGGATGGCAGCACACTGGCCAAGCACTGAGATGCTCATGCTGAAGTTGGCGCACACAACTCAGAGTCCTCATGAATATTTTATACTCATTACAAAATAGCACATCACCTTCTGACCTTCTTACTTTTGTTTCAAGTTGTTTCTAACATGACTGATTTCCAACTGATATACACTGGAAATTAAATTCTTATGGGCTAATGAAGAAAATATAAAGAAATAAGTTAATATTTGGTCTACATTCTTAAAAAAGGTCATGTAGGGAGGGAGTATTGCACTTGTCTTCCTTAATGAATGAATTTAAAATGAGGAAGAATACACTGATTACAAAATCAACAATTTCAATAAAAATGTTGCTAAAACGTCCAAAGTTCATTTAAAAAACATGTCAAGGGTGTGTCTGGGACTGCGAGGTTTTGTTTTCTTCGCGGTTGAGCACTTCGTTTTCAGTCCCGGTCTGGAATGAGAAAGAACACACAATTTCTATGCAGAAGAAAATATTTGAAAATAATTCTGCAAAAGCAGCTTTCAAAACTGTCACTTGGTAAGTTACAAATGCAAAGGTTAGCCCCTAAAGCTCAGAGTAAAGCATAAGTTTGTTGCTCTTTTTACTGAAGCCCAAGCCAGTTGTACCTTTTTGTCCTTCCTGTAGCCTTCTGAAGTCTATCTGCAGGACAAAGAAAAGCCAAGAAATTCCATGAGGGAAAAGAGAAAATAATTAAAAAGCTTCACAAAAATGAAAGAGATAAAAATAACTGATTAAAGATAACATTATACATATCCTAAAATAATTTTTTAAAATATAGTATTATACTAATTAAATTAGTGTGTGTTGTGTGTGTATGTGTGAGCTCACACGTATGGAAGTGAGTGGACAACTTTTGTAGGTCAGTTCTTTCCTTCCATCTTGTGTTCCAGAGGTCAAGCTCAGGCCGAAAGCCTTGCCAGCCAGACCCTGCACGTGAGAGCACCCCCTGCCAGCCCCATAAGGTTAATTTATAGTATTGGTTCTTTATAATTTACTGGTTCTATTGGCATTAAACTTAATTTCTGCAATCTTGCTGCAGTCAGCACTACCAAGAGACAAGTGAAAAAGGTTTCCTGGGTCTGTAAGTACAGCTAATTTGTCACTGTGCACTGGCAGATAATCCCGAGGGAATTTCTTTTCTGATTAGATCACTCAGATCCTTCATCTTTTAACTTCATTCAACACTCACTCAAAACTAAACTGGATTTTTCCATCAATTCAAAAGCTTGTTTGAGTTATTTATAGCCATGGTAAGGCAACTAATATTTTTCTAAATAAGAGCAAACACAAGACAGCCTTTCAATGGTGTACATTTCAAATTCAGCAGTTTCAGAATTTTAATAGGCCATATCCCCAGAAAATCATATTCCTATTATTTTCGTAATATGTTCACACACACATGAGGGTGTACATGTGTGTGCCTAGTGTCTGCAGCGGCCAAAAGAGGGCACTGAATCCCCGGAGCTGGAGTCACAGATGGCTGTGAGCCCCCATGTGGGTTCTGGGGGTCAAACCTAGATGCTCGGAGAAAGTAGTAGGTGGTCTTAGCCCCTGGCCATCTCCCTCATTGCCCCCAACACATTCCTCTTAATGACTACATGCTTACCAGTACTTCGGGAGCTTTCTTTGGGTTGGTTAACCGAATTGACTTCACCATTTCTCAGTTCCTGGATAATGCCTTTATTTAAGCAAATGTCCACATGCACATTGAAGAGGGTAAGGTCAGAAGTCTTTTGTTCTTGGTTACAAACAGGGCAAACTAGAGCTTGTCCTGTTCCTGTCTCATCTGTACAGGGCTGGGCGGATGCTTGCCTACTTAATACACTGACAGTTCCCTCTGCCAGTGAAACGGGACAGGACCTGTTTGGAATATCAGAATATTCCTCTCTGCTGCAAGCCTTCCCTAAAGTGTCCACACTTGCTGCTTCCACTGAGCTGTCTTCAGTCTCTAGCAGGTCTATACCATCTACTGAAGGGACCTCTCCATTCTTATATTCCTGTTTCTCACACAGTGGACTAGAATGGTGAGCCTTTTCCTTCTGACTAAGGTCTGCAGAGGAAACATTTGAGTACAAGGGCATTTTCAAGTTCTTCCTGGTGGATGATCCATCAAGACACACATCTACATGTTTGTTAAAGGCTTCCAGACTGAGACCTTCCTGCTCCCTAAAGCAAACTGGACACAGAAATGTCTGACAGTTATTTGAATTCTCTGATATTTCAAAACTCTCTCTCATCTTCTTCAGTGCCTGGAATGGCTGCAAGGTCTGCAGAGCCTGCTGAGCCACAGTTTCACATCTGGGTGTGTCTTGATGGCTCAAGGTCCTTTCTGATCGCTTTTTATCAAAGAAACTCTTCTTATGAGACACTTCTAAAGGTTTCACAAACTTGGTTTTGTCAGTTTTGTCTAGAATATACCCAGTAGATGACAAAGCCTGGTTTCCAGCTTGTAAGAATCCAATGATGCTCCTCTGTTGCTGTTTTTTGTCATCTTCATTAGAAAAAGTAGATATCCGAACACCTAAATGAAACTACAACCAGTCAGTTTCAAACTGTAGAAAGATATTCACTCCCAATACAAACAAAACATTTAACCTACTACTATTATGACACACATGTAACAGGCAGAGAGAAGTAAGTACCACTGGAGACGTGTACACAGACAGGCACATACACACGGTTTTCCAGTGTTAATGCATACGTAGTCTTCTGCATGTTAGGCATATATTTACCACTTTACCACATTCTCAAGTCAATATTTTCCAAATTAAAGGATACTTTCTCAAAGCTGAGATTATGAAGAACTTACATTGCTTTATAAAACTAGGTGTCGGTAAATGTTAAGAATCTATTGGAGTACACAAGGTCTTATATAGAACTTTCAATGTTTCATGTATGATGCCATTAAATAGAATGTCATTAGTTGGGGTCAACTTTAGAGGCTCTTCAGCTCTAATTATTTTAAGGAGTGTTTCGTTTTCATGCAACAATTAAACAGAGAATTCCCCAAGGCCCTGTTGTCATTTGCATACAACCTCCGGTACTGTACACACACACACACACACACACACACACACACACAGACACACACACACACACACAGACACACACACACACACACACACACACACACACACACACACACACACCCCACTAGCACCCAAACTCTACGGTCGACCTTAGGATTTGCTCTTGACAGTGTTTATTCTATGAGTTTAGATGTGGTTATAAGGACATGAATTCATCATTATAGAATCACACACAGTTGTTTCACTAGCCTAAAACCCTTCTGCTTTGTCTATTCATCCTTCCCCTTGGGCAATATTGTCTTTTTACTATCTCCAAGGTTTTGCCTTTCTCAAGATGCCAAATGTCCACTATTGGCTTCTTTCACTTAGCAGTAGTTACTTGTTTCCCACATTATCCCGCTGTCTATACATACATAGTTTATCAGTCCACTTAAGTGTATCTTGCCTGCTTGTAAGTCTTGCAATTAAGAATAAAGTTTCTACAGATACTTGCTCTTTGGTTCTTTTGAACATACTTCCTTTAGTGGTTTCACTGTACACTCTCTCAAGTGAAAGTTAGATTATGATCCCCTCTTGGCACAATCTCTTACAGTTCACTTACAAGTATGGCTTCCTAGCTTGTTTCCAACAGGTAGAGGCTGGCAGTGTGGTTTCACAGTGTCATACTTTTGATTTGTAATTCTGAAATCCAACATTTATTAAAAGTGTAGCATGAGGTAATAAAGAATAAACTGACGATATATTATTTTGTGTCCTCACAAACTAAATAACAAATTTGTTGTTGTTGCTTAGCGACAGAAATGTCCACATTTCATTATGTCATGGTGTTTCAGATCCCCAAAGAGTACTGCAGAACATAATTTAAATGCCCTGTATTTGTTTCTCAAATGTGTTTAGTATTGCGTTTTGAAATACCATGCCTCAAGGACTTCAGAAAAAACAAGGTTCAGAACAGCTTCCATCGGCTTAGACAGAACTGAAGTACATGAAATACAGTACATGCATCCACACACGCAACCACACAGACATACACACATGCATCCGGTTCTAGGAGTTACAACTGACAGAAGCAGAGGAAGAAGCGCTTGAACAATTTTAAGAAATAAATGGAGGAAAAAAGATTCCCAAGTTGATTTCTTTTTTTTGGGGGGTGGTGGCAGGGAACATTAAATACATAAAGAAAAAGTATATATATAGAGAGACGCCTACCCATCAGCCTTAACCGCAAGGGGTGTGGAGAACACGCAATAACTTCTGTCCTTAGCAGCTCTTTAGCGATGGCGAATATTTCTTCTGCAGTAGAAACGGTGGACAGAACTGTAGACGCTCGAGTTTTCACTTCAAAGTTCACATTCTTCAGCTTAATGGTGACAGTTCTTCCCTACAACACATGCAGCGCATTAGGAGGAAGGCTGCAGCACGTGCAGAGGAGAGCGTCTACAGGTTACAAGAGTTTAGGAAGTTCTGTACATGTGACATGCAAGCGCCACCAGCCGTTTACAAAACGTGGTCATGAAAACTCATAATTAGAATCCATGTCTGAAAATATCAGTTAGCATATAATTACTATGCCCCTCCTTAATTAAAAGGGCAAAGTTAACTCACCACCTTTGCTTTTACTGTACATCTCTCTATGGTAATTCAGTGCTGGCATGACTGCGCATGCCAGCGTGCTCCACAAGATGGCTGCAAGAATTACTTTGCAGTTAGTGTCTTAAGGACATGAGGCTTCAGCTGGGAAGACTGATGACATTTAAGTATTTCCTGGGGGTTTAAAGGAACTGGCAGCCATTTCACTTGAGGGCAAGTTCAACTTTCTGACTCATTTCCTGACTCATTTCAGAGTTAGTAACTTCAGGCAGGAGAAGCCTATCAAACATTCCCTTAACCAGGTGAGAGCCGCGACAGGAAATGACAAGAAGGCCACTTCACCTTTGTGGTATTGTTTCTAAACACCTATCCCCTATAACATGGGATACACAAGACAGCAGAATTCTGCAGAGCATATGACCAGTGGTTCTCAAAACTACTCTATAAAGAGGAAAAGGCTTACACACCGAACTAGAGAGACAGGACACCAGTCACCATGTGGGTCCTTGGATGGAATCCTGGAGACAAATTAGTAGACAGACAAGAGCAAGCCAAATGCAGTCTGATGCTTTGTTAACAACAAGGGCTAAGTTCACTTTCTAGCTTGACAAGTATCTATGGTGGTACAAAATGTTGACAACTGAGGAAAGTGGGTGAGCGGTATAATGGAAATCTCTATATTCTTTTGGAAACAGTCCTATAAATCTGAAATAATTCTAAAATTAAGTGTATCAAAAAACTGAAAAAAGAACTATCTGACACTTGAGCTAAGAACAGTTAGAAGTAAAAAGGTTCCTCAAATATTCCAATTTTTCTGCAATAACTTTTTAACACTTTTTTTTGCTTTGTTTTGTTTTTTCAAAACAAGGTTTCTCTGTGTAGCCTTGGAGTCCTGGACTTGCTTTGTAGAACAGGCTGGCCTCGAACTCACAAAGATCAGCCTGCCTCTGCCTCCCCAAGTGCTGGTATTACAGGCGAGCATCACTGCACAAGGCATTTTTTAATACCTTTGCATTACGTTTTGTAATAACTAACTCTGGCTTGCGGGACTGAAAAAAAATCTGTGTACTGCTCTAAAGGAAGAGTACACAGGACAGTCCAGAACATCCGAGGCTTCTGTTTTCAATGTGTTAAGCAACCAGGATAAGAGCCCTGAAATACAAGGCCTGTGCTAGAAGGTCACTGTCACTGTGAGTGACGCCTTCAGGAATGACCTGGAAAAGGTTTATGATAGGAAACAGCTGTAACAGTCCTTCCCTTTGCCTTTGTCTCTCCTGCCATTTAAGTCGAATCTAGCACATCACTCAAACGTAGTGTTAGGGTAGAAAGCCGCCCTTCATCACCTGGGACCAGTCACTCTAGTCCAGCGTCACAGCTTGTCCTTCATGGAGTGACCTCATCCCAGGCCTCACACAGGTCAGACCTTACTTCCTTTCTGGCTATTAGGGATGGGAGCATTCTATTTAATAAATGTATAGTCACTTGACTTAGAGTAGTAGCCTATAATGGAAAAGGTAAAAACTAAAATCATCCTGTCAAAATCCAGTACCTTAAGTCCTTCCTTCTGGAGATCGTGGGCGAGCTCAGTGCATAGTTCTTGGCATAAGCTGTACTGTTCTTCCGTTTTACTTATCTCGCTAAATGTCCTGGAGAAACAGGAAGGATTTTGGTATGCAATGTAAATTACAGCTGAATAATTTGGTAATGATAGACTACATTCAAGAGCCCAGCACTGTATTTTCTTTGGTATAAATTAAAGTTTTCATATAAACTAAAACATAAGTAAAAATATCTCTCTATATAAGTGATCAAAATCCATTTAGATAGGTGCATTGATTAGAACCCCCCCTTTTATGTTTTTCTCTTTTTTCACATGGCCTCACTTTGCAGCCCTGGTTGGACTGGAACTTGCTACATGCACCCAACTGCCCTTGAATTCACAGGGATCAGCCTGCCTCTGTCTCCTACTAACAGGATTAAAGACATGCTCACCACCATGCCCAGCTCCTCATTCATTTTTAAAGTGGTATATTGGCGCTTTCTTATTGTGAGTTCTTTACACAACAGAGAGGCCAGATCTGTGTGATTGTGAACCCAAGCTCAATACCAAACTTGATGCCCTAATGCATTTTTGAAGATCCAAGGAGGGTTTTCAGGGAAAACAGGAACTAGGCAGCGGTTCTTAAATGTCTCAGTAGAACTTTGCCGCTGTAAGGAATAACTGAGAAACGTTTAAAACTGCACACATTCCCCAGGCAAAGTTCCATTAAGAGTTCACATGACTCTACACAACACTCTAGCCCCGTACTAGACAACCTCTAAGCCAGTGCCTGTCAGCCTCGGGGCTGTGACCCCTTTGCAGGGTGAATGACCCTTTCACAGGGGTCACCTAAGACCACCAGAACACATTGCCACTTACACTACATTTCATAACAGCATCAAATTACGGTTATGAAGTAGCAATGAAACAATTTTACGGTTGGAGTGTCCACAGCACGAAGACCTGTACTAAAGGACCACAGCGCTGGGGAGGCTGAGAACTACCGCTTGGTTCTCCTTTACAAATACAACTTCAGGCTCCGTTATCTAAAACACGTAAGTCAAGGAGGCAGATTTGGATTGGGCTGTTTTTAATTTTACTTTGTGGCATCTGTTAGTACAGTGAGATGTCCTCAAATGGGATCCAGGTTTAAAAATGAAATTTATTTGTTTTGTATACATCTTATACTTAGAGCCAGAAGGTGTGTATATATATATATATATATATATATATATATATATATATATATATGCATATATATATATATATATATGCAT